TGCCAGGGTGGAGCCCGTGGCTGGGTGGAGCCCGTGGCTGGGTGGAGCCCGTGCCAGGGAGGAGCCCGTGCCAGGGTGGAGCCCGTGCCAGGGTGGAGCCCGTGCCAGGGTGGAGCCAGGGTGTGGTGGTGGTGGTGGTGTTCCCCAGCCAGGTACAGTGAGGTTGGCGCTAGGCATAATGCGTCACATTGTTGTGGAAGGCAGGAGCCTGGAGCTGTTCACCCCCGTGTCACAGTGGCTCCCAACATTTATTATACACGTGACCAGAATCTTTATATTCAAATTAGGTAATGGTCAAGTAACCCTTGACCTTGTCTGGGCTTAACGACGTCTGTGACCCGCATGCTTATGCCTCATGTAAAACAGGTGAGGAATCCCAAGGCGCCTCTGCTTAGATCCGGGTGAAGCATGCTGGCATAGCAAGACCTTTACTTAGCCTTACAACCCTGCCACTCCAGTTTGATGAGTTGAAACCTTCGTCTTGTAGAAACACTTTAGTTGCAATTAAGACGTTTAGCTTACCTGGTCAAGGAGGCGGCCTGGTCGACGACCGGGCCGCGGGGACGCTAAACCCCGCGAAGCATCTTAAGGTAAGGTGAACTTCTTGAAGATTCCTGGGGGCTCTTGTCCCCTTGGTCCATATACCGTGGCGGTTGCCTTAGTACCCACGTCGTATTGCGGTGTTCAACAACAGATGAGCTTGTGATGCGTTGAGTTTAATATATATTAAATGGTTGCCAGTGATTGTCTCAAGAATTTCCGAGTGCTTTGACCTCCACCTTCAAGACGGTCTTGACCTAGACGCTTCAGTAATACTAGCAGCGTTTAGTCATTATGCGCCCGATCCCCGTCTCGTGAGTGGGTAGTAAAATATTAGCAATAACAGCAACAATAATAATGTTAACTAATAATAACAAAGATATATGCGTATTATAACCCAATAATAGCATTAACAACAAGGAGAACAAACACTGTCGATGACCCAAGAGAGAGCGAGAACCCATACATCAAGAACCCGGCTTTTGTAAAACAAGTGAAGTGTGTGAGTGGTTGAAAGGTGAGACATGCCGAACGGGTGAGGGATGGGGTGGGGGGGGGAGTGTGAGGGTGAGGTGGAGGATGAGGGGGTGGGAGAGGGGATGGATGAGGGAGGGAGGGAGGGGACAAGGTAAGAGGTGCTGGAGACGCGATTGTTGTTGTTCAGTTTATTTTCTAGGGCAGACGGTGGCAGATATAATGAGGGGGCGGGGGGAGGGGGGCTGGCGTCCCAGCACCAGGATCCTCACCCCTCACACCTGTCTAACTCAGACACGCCTCATAACACCACCTGTCACCCCTCCCCCACCCCACCTGTGAGAGGCCACCTGTCGCCCCCACCCCCCTTACCTTTTGCGTAGTGGCTATTGTATAAAATGAGTAGCTGTAGCAAGAGTGGGTGATGATCGTAGATGAAAAGCTCAACATGTGTCTTGATGAGCAGGTGTGGGAGCAGTAGCAGAAGGCATAGAAGCAGAAGCAGCAGGTAGTACTGAATGTGAGCACATGTCCTATTGTTCAACTCAGAACTCAGATTCCATAATTAGCAGCAAAAGTAGCAGGAACAATAACACGAGGAGCAGAACTGATGTAGCATCAGCAGTAGTTATAATAGCTGGATCAGAAGCATGGACAGGTGTAGTAGCAGCAGAAAAAATAGACGTAGGAGCAGCAGCAGCAGATGATTAAGGTGATGCAGGAGTTAAAAAAGTGTAGCAGCAGGAGCAGGAGCAGGTGGTGCATGAGGAGCAGGTGTGTAGCAAGCGTTGCGGGCGGGAGTATAGCGGGATGTAACCTGGGGATTAATAGGTGTGGTGGCCACCACTGGGTAAAAACTTGTCCAATATGCGCCAGGAGGAGGGTACCCTCCCTACCTTGTCCTCTTCTTCTCCCTCCTTCCCCTCTCTCTCTTATCCTAATAATTTATTGTATTCACTCCTCTCTCTCTCTCTCTTTCTCCTTTACTAGCGCCTCTTAATTCAGGGCAGGTGTAGGTGTGGCCTGCTAGCTATCTTCCCGGAATCTAGGTTCACCTAGACAGTTTGATGTAAGGACTCCCACCCTACTTGTATCTATAGTTCCTGTTTCTCAAATTATGTCTTGCTATAACACTCCATTATTCATTGTTCTTCCCTCTCTTTCGTCTCTGTATTGTATTGTATTCTGTGACCTCACATGTAAACCTCTGGTTCTCGTTGTGCTTATAGTTTACAGCTCCTTTTGGCATAGTATTTATATGCATATACTGCATGACTGGTGTTTATCTGGGGGCTACTGTACGCGCCTACCGAGCGCGCTCTTCACCCACTAGGGGTGTTGCTGTCTGCTCTCCGGTTTGTTCCAGTTGATCAGTGATAACAGCCATTTCTCATTTACAATATTACTTTATGGTAAACATTTGGACTTGTTTATTTATCCTGCTGGGTTTATCACCTGTGTGTACTCACCTAGTTGTGTTTGCGGGGGTTGAGCTCTGGCTCTTTGGTCCAGCCTCTCAACCGTCAGTCAATTGATGTTCAGATTGCTGAGCCTACTGGGCTCTGTCATATCTACATTTGAAACTGTGTATGGAGTCAGCCTCCACCACATCACTTCCTAGTGCATTCCATTTACTAACTACTGTGTGTGTGTGTGCGCGCGTGCTTGGGTATATACTCGTCTAGCTTACCTAATGGTGCTTCCTAGGGTAGAACTACAGCTCTTGTGTCCCCGCGTTCCTTCAGCCTTCCCCCCAGCAACTCTCAGATGTATTACTTCATTACCCCGACACGGAACAAATATTTTAATGTGCCCGTGGCTGATCTGAGGCAAATTTTGGTTGGTGTTCCCCGTGTCAGGGACCGGGCCGCGGGGACACTAAGCCCCGAAATCATCTCAAGATAACCTAGGTGAGCAGGGGTATCTAGTGAAAGAAATTGTCGCCATTTGTTTCTGCCTCGGCCAGGAATCGAATCCGGGTCTTTGGGACTACGACTCCCGTACGGGGGGAGGGGAGGGGGGGGATTTGTGTGCGCGCGTGTTATGTGGAGGGTGTGCAAGCGCTCACGCAAGCGCACTCGCACGTGCGTTCGTTCGTGCGTGCTTAGGTGCTTGGCTGTGTGATAGAATGTGTGTGTGTGTGTGTGTGTGTGTGTGTGTGTGTATTCACCTAGTTGTGCTTGCGGGGGTTGAGCTCTGGTTCTTTCGGCCCGCTTCTTAACTGTCAATCAATCAACAGATTTTACACACACACACACACACACACACACACACACACACACACACACACACACACACACACACACACACACACACACACACACACACACACACCAGAAAACAGTCCGTAACAGCTGTCTTAACTCCCAGGTACCTATTTACTGCAAGGTAACAGGGGGCACCAGGGTGAAAGAAACTGCCCATTTGTTTCCGCCACAGCCGGGGGATCGAACCCGGCGGATTACTCGAACCCAAGGATTACGAGTCCCGAGCGCTGTCCACTCAGCCACAGGCCCCTTAAGATGTGCGCGTGCCTGGCGTCAATCAGACTTTTCAGTCCACTTTTCTTCTTCCTTGTTGCTCCTCTCAGCCAGTGTGTCATCTTGGGATCGTGTGTGGCTGATAGGAAGGTTCAATTTCAAGTGTGTTGCGGCGCGGGTGAGGGTCTCTTGAGGATGGGGGGGAGGGGGGGCTGGAGGAGTGAGAGACTCGTGCAAGGATCATTGAATGGTGGTTGTGTGTGGGGGGAGATGTGGTTACCTGGTTGATGGGGTTCTGGGAGTTGTTCCTACTCCCCAAGCCCGGCCCGTGGCCAGGCTTGACGTGTGAGAGTTTGGTCCACTAGGCTGTGTTGCTTTGGAGCGGCCCGCAGGCCGGTAAAAGGCAGAGGGCAGGACAGGTCGGTGGTAGAGAGACAGGTCGCCCCAGGAGGCTGTGCTGACCGCCGTCAGGTGTGGTAGTGTTGGTGGTGGGTGCTGGTGTGGCACCTTCTGAGGCTGTGTCGTATTTGATGCCGTGTGTGTGATGGTGTTTGATTACCTGTTGGCACTTGTACCTTGTTCTGTCTTCTGGTAGTTTAGTACCTGGTGGTGGCATGTTGAGTTCTTATTTGATTTGAGGGAGGCGGGTTCTGTTGTTTGATGTTTACTAAGCACAAATGCTTATGATTGGCTCGCCTGGTGAAATTTTTGGGAGGGGTGGGAGGGGGGGGGGAGGTGGTGGTTATGGGTGTGGTTGGGTGGTATTGGAGGGACAAATGAGGGGGTGACTGGTGGGTGGTGGTGATGGGAGTGTGCGTGCGGGTGTGCTTGCCATTATTTGTTAGTTGGTGCTGCTTAAAGCTGACTGCTGACTGGCTGTGTGTGTGTGTCTGTGGGGGCTGTGTGGGGTTGATAGCGTTCTCTCTCCCCTGCCCTTACCCTGCCCTGTCCAGCCCAGCCCTGTCCTGCCCTGCCCTGCCCTGCCCTGCCTGCCCTGCCCTGCCCTGCCCTGCCCTGCCCTGCCCTGCCCTTGTCTAAATCAGCTCAATAAAACATTCTAATATGACCGCTTAAAATATCCCAAACTGTGTGTGGCTGCGTGGCATATAGTTACGTGTTTTGTATCATATCATCTTCCTCCCTCTCTCCCTCCCTTCTCTATCCTATTATCTTTCCTCGTTAACCCGAGCTCTTTCAACCTTCGTAACCCATGACACAGATCGAGCCTCGTTGCAAACTTCTGCGTTTCTTGAACATTTCGTTAGGCATGTTTTTTTTATACGTGGGATCTCTGCCACCTCCTTATTGACATGTGTGTGTGTGTGTGAGTTCATGTTGTTTCCTCTCACTCATCTTCCTCCTTAAATCTTTACTCCCTCCCGTCTTCCTTGCCTTTTTTTCAATGTCTTGCCTCTCTCTTATACTCCTTCGTTCGCTGTAAATTTACATAGCATGTAGTCACATATATGATTTTTTTTAATTTAAAATATTTGTTTCCTTTCGCAGGTGTGTGGAGCATGTGTTGCGTGTCCCCAAGTGAGGGTGAGTATGATGCAGGTTTGGGAGCCTAGCTGCCCAAAACTGGTATATTGAAAGTAGATTTGAGTGACGGGTCTGAATATATGAGTTGATGCACATTTGAATATTACTCATATTTTTCAGCGTAAATGAATAAACAGATATATGGAAATGTGCGCTCGTGGCTGTTTTATATAGATACAAAATTAAATATAACTCATAGTTTTTCCATCACGTAATTTACAAAATCAATAGAAAAATACACACGAGCCAAGCAGGTTGGCTGAGGTGATTAATCCTCTAATTGGTCCCCTGATAATCTCTGCTCACATTGTGCTCAATGTATTTCATGATTGTCGTCATGAAACTGAAAATAGGGTTCCTGCTGCTCTTCTGTCCTCTGCTGCTACTGCTACTGCTACTGGAGTTGCTGCTTGTGCTTCGGGTGGTACTGGCGGCGGGTCTTTTAATGGTGGGGTCCACAGGAAGCATGAATCTCCCATTGTAGTGGTTGGTGGCAAATTTTCGATGACGCGAAATTTCGGTGTGGCTGTTGATTACTAGTTTGCCAGGCGCAGTTTATGGCTAGATGGGGGGGTTGTGGGGTGGGTGGGTGCTGGGGCTAGGTGGGGGGGTTGTGGGGTTGGTGGGTGCTGGGGCTAGGTGGGTGGTTGTGGGGTGGGGGGGGGGGTTGTGCTGGGGCTAGATGGGCGGGGGCAAGGAATAGCACCATTCCTTCACCCCCGTCCCATCCCTAAACCTTATCCTGACCCCTTCCAAGTGCTATATAGTGGTAAGGGCTTGGCGCTTACCACGGGAGACATCTCCCGTCACGCAGGGTGCAGTTGCACCTCTACAGATCTCAAGTATCATCTATTGATACTGGTAATGGCTCAAAAGGGCCGCCACTTACGGGCTATTCATGCCCGTGCTACCTTTTGGGTGGCTTAATCTTCATCAATCATGGCGCTTACCCCTGATAGTTTATTCCCACTCCTCTGTACTGTAGTACATTTCCGTGACCTCTTAAGACAGCGGGGTACAGGGACCACCATCTCGCCTACCACAGTACTTGTACACAAGAAAAGGAGGGAAGCGAATAGGTAAAATATATATGTACAAACATCTGATAAGCAAAATCATTATATACAGTAGTACTCTGTAGCCTAGTTATACAGAAGACTACTTTTTAGTGCAATGGTAATGACAGCTTCACTTTTCACTATAGCCATAAATATGCACTATAGGAAATAGTAAATCTTATCAGCCATTAAATACACATAAAAGGGCAATGTAAAGTCACAAGGCAATCATTGAAATAATGTTTTGGATCCTATGCCCCTGTTACCTAGCAGTAAAATAGGTACCTGGGTGTTAGTCAGCTGTCACGGGCTGCTTCCTGGGGGTGGAGGCCTGGTCGAGGACCGGGCCGCGGGGACACTAAAAAGCCCCGAAATCATCTCAAGATAACCTCAAGTCATAATTATATCCCACAATATCTTCACCTTTGTAAATGCACATTAATGACACTATGTAAAAGACACATCGAACACTTTATGTAGCATACATAAATCTGTGTATCTGTATTTACGTATGTACCTTAGCCTAGCATTTTTAAAGGCATTACAATCACCTTCTGTGGTTGATTGTTCAATAAATCTCTGAACTATATGTTTGACAAATCTCTAACCCTGTCCATGAGGACAGAAGAAAATATATATATGTTTGTTAGCATTGTAAATGTGTGGCTACGTCTGTGGTAGAAAATAATAATAATACAAAAAATATCATCACTAAGTAATCAAATAATCAAACTTAAAACCTAGTTAGATTATCCAGCTTAATGGTCATTAACCTGAGTAAATATGTGCTCCCAAGATGCTCCGTAGTAACTAACGTAAGACAAAATATTTGTATAAATCAAAAAGAAAATGTAACATGAAAAAAATGAAAATGCAAAAAATAACATAAGCTACAATATATGTACATTGTATAATAGTGACGTTTCCACAGCAATAAAGCAAAATTAACGTGGAAGTCGCCCACACATTAAATAACGCTAATAACCATATTCACTGATCAACACAATGTTCATAAAGATTATAATTCACTGTCAATCACTACCACACAACTTGGGGCAGAAAACACCCCAAGCCTCAGTAATATATATATCATAGAAAACGGTCATCTCATCCGAGCAATGAATATACAGTAATATAAATTTATATTTTTTTGCATCTTAACTGAGTGGTATAGCGTGTGATGTGTGTGTGTGTGTGTGTGTGTGTGTGTGTGTGTGTGTGTGTGTGTGTGTGTGTGTGTGTGTACTCACCTATATGTACTCACCTATATGTGCTTGCAGGATCGAGCATTGACTCTTGGATCCCGCCTCTCTAGCTATCGGTTGTTTACAGCAATGACTCCTGTCCCATTTCCCTATCATACCTAGTTTTAAAAGTATGAATAGTATTTGCTTCCACAACCTGTTCCCCAAGTGCATTCCATTTTTCTACTACTCTCACGCTAAAAGAAAACTTCCTAACATCTCTGTGACTCATCTGAGTTTCCAGTTTCCACCCATGTCCCCTCGTTCTGTTATTATTACGTGTGAACATTTCATCTATTTCCACTTTGTCAATTCCCCTGAGTATTTTATATGTCCCTATCATATCTCCTCTCTCCCTTCTTTTCTCTAGTGTCGTAAGGTTCAGTTCCTTCAGCCGCTCTTCATATCCCATCCCTCGTAGCTCTGGGACAAGCCTCGTCGCAAACCTCTGAACCTTCTCCAGTTTCTTTATGTGTTTCTTCAGGTGGGGGCTCCATGATGGCGCGGCATACTCTAAGACGGGTCTCACGTAGGCAGTGTAAAGCGCCCTAAAAGCTTCCTCATTTAGGTTTCTGAATGAAGTTCTAATTTTCGCCAGTGTAGAGTACGCTGCTGTCGTTATCCTATTTATATGTGCCTCAGGAGTTAGATTAGGTATCACATCCACTCCCAGGTCTCTTTCTCGAATCGTTACAGGTAGGCTGTTCCCCTTCATTGTGTACTGTCCCTTTGGTCTCCTGTCACCTGATCCCATTTCCATAACTTTACATTTACTGGTGTTAAACTCCAGTAGCCATTTCCCTGACCATCTCTGCAGCCTGTTTAAGTCCTCTTGGAGGATCCTACAATCCTCGTCTGTCACAACTCTTCTCATTAATTTTGCGTCATCTGCAAACATTGACATGTATGATTCCACTCCTGTAAACATATCATTTACGTAAATTAGAAAGAGGATTGGTCCCAGCACCGATCCTTGAGGTACTCCACTTGTTACTGTTCGCCAGTCCGACTTCTCGCCCCTTACCATTACCCTCTGGCTCCTTCCTGTTAGGTAGTTCTTCACCCATACTAGGGCCTTTCCGCTTACTCCTGCCTGCCTCTCAAGTTTGTATAGCAGTCTCATGTGCGGTACTGTATCAAAGGCCTTTTGGCAGTCAAGAAATATGCAGTCTGCCCAGCCTTCTCTGTCCTGCCTTATCCTTGTTACTTTATCATAGAATTCTAAAAGGTTTGTTAGGCATGATTTCCCTGTCCAGAACCCATGTTGGTGCTTGTTTACAAACCCAATGCTCTCCAGGTGCTCAACAAGTCTTAGCCTAATTATTCTTTCAAGTATTTTGCAGGGGATGCTTGTCAGTGATACGGGTCTGTAGTTAAGTGCCTCCTCCCTATCACCCTTTTTGAAAATCGGTACGACATTTGCCTCCTTCCAGCAACTGGGCAATTCTCCCGACATAAGTGACTCATTAAAGATCATTGCCAGAGGCACGCTGAGAGCCTGCGCTGCCTCTTTAAGTATCCACGGTGATACTTTGTCTGGTCCAACAGCTTTATTTGCATCCAGTGTTGTCAACTGTTTCATTACATCCTCTGCTGTCACCTCTATATCTGATAGTCTTTCATCTTGGGTAATCTCTTCTAACAATGGGAGCTGCTCAGGCTCGGTTGTGAACACTCCATGGAATTTTGCATTCAGTACCTCGCAGATTTCCTTGTCGCTTTCTGTATGTGTGTGTGTGTGTGTGTGTGTGTGTGTGTGTGTGTAACAAGGCCCCCTTCCCACTACGGCACTAGTGTACACAGTACTGCTGTAGTGGCGGGTGACGGCTATGCACTAAGTATTGGAGAATAGTGGGTGTGAGAGGTCCTGGAGAGGATGGGGTGGTGTAGAGGGGGTCCAGTGGGGGTGTGTGGGTGATGTAGAGTGGGGTGTGGGTGGCGTGTGTACAGGTAGTAAGTGACGAGGGGTGGCGACGCTGGTCTGTGCTGTACATACCATTGTTACCCAGTCATGTGTTGTGGTTTGGGAGGGCGGGGGTTACAAGCAGACTGGCTCGCTCGTAAATCATGGCCTTTGTGGCGGGGAGGATACGACGCCCGCGTCGGCTTAGGTAGGGGGGGGGCTCATTATGGACACGTGGGTGTTGGGGGGGATCATTATTGACACGTGGGTGGTGCATGGGAGGGGGAGGGGGGTAGAGATCTGGGAAAGGGTTGAGGTGGGAGAGGGGTTGAAGGGGCCAGGGCCACTGGCACACCGTGCACCATAACCTTCACATAGTGACACTGCCGTAAGACACCTTGAGTGTACTCCCTACAACGGAGACCGAGAAAGCTGTCTTAATAACACGGGAAGTAGTTGAAGGTCGGCAGATTCGTGATCTTCCACGGGAAGCTTGCTGTTTTCCGGTTGAGGGCCGCAGTGTCTTAAGTTGGCAACTTATGAATGTATAGGTGATACCTTTGGTATATCAACTTGACGAGTGCTGTTGTGAAGTTCGCGCCAGGGTAGGCTCTGTAATGATACTAATGACATAATAAAACATGTCTGTTATTGAAAAAAATAGAAAAAGTTCAGTTATCCCCCAACATGACAACATAAACGGCTCTCCTCCCGCCAGCATGTGATATGTCGTCACACCTCGTGTAGTCACATGTCCGTCAACATATTCTCACATCGCTGACTCGTATTCAAGACTGACTCACAGACATCACATCGATCTATAGTAATGATTATTTCGCAAAGTAACTATGCATAAACACCTGTGTTATGCATAGTATCCTGAGCTTCCTGTCTCCACATTAGCCACCTTCCTTGCTCCACACACTGGGAACTCCTCCTACACCACCTTCCTTAATATGAAGGCTGGGGTTGGCCTTGACAAGCGCCGTGTCATGGGGAGTAAACTGGCCAAAATTGATGTTGGTAGATGGGTTCTTCCCTGGATCAAAGGTCACATGTCCAACAGGAAGTCACTTGGACTGTTTCAAGGGCACAGGAGCGTTGGTTTAGCAAAGTCTTTGATCAAGGCTCCCAGCACAATGGCCTCGGTCCTGTCTAGTTGTTGTTTTAGATTCAGCTACTCGGAACAAAAGTTCCAAGTAGCACGGGCTATGGTGAGCCCGTAGTGGACTTACCTGGCACTGGAGCGGTGCCCTGTGGCTGCTTGAGCATGAACGGCGTCCTTATAGTGTGTGAAATGCTCCATTTACCCCCCACACAGGCACGTCTTGGTGCAGGGTTGTCAATACATTGTGCAAGATCACTCTTCAGATAACTCAGGATCACACAAGCGTTGATCTCATCTTGTCATTGATTGATATTGTATTAGCTACTGCTTTCTTACTCTTGATTATTTTTCTTAATTTTAGAAACAACAGATGAAGGACATTATTTCCCCAGAGCATTGATGTTGAGTGCGCGTGAGTGCATATAGGTTTATCATCATTAGTAACATCTTTATTGACGGCTTTGTGCTGGTAGAGTCGTCTAAGGCGACCCTCCTATTTTGTGCATCAGACTTACTTTTAACCTCGGCTTCCTCCCTATCTATTGGTAATTTCACCTGTTCAGTGTTCTCAGTGTAGTGGTGCGTTCGTGCATCCCTGTGTTTGGTGTGTCCAGCTTCCACTGTTGGTTTTATTGTTCTGCTGAACATCTCATCTTCGTCTAGCATCAATTACTCCAATTGTGTGTAATATGTAGTTACGTCTCCTGAGTTGAGCATGTGCGGGGCGGGGCCCACACTCTTACCTTTTCGTTCACCTCTAGGGCCCCCGCCTGCAAGTAATTAGTCTCCTGGTGCGTTTGATTGATTAATAAAGATTAAGCCACCCAATAGGTGGCACGGGCATGAATAGCCCGTAACTGGTGCGTTTATACCTCTCAGCTTTTTAAGGCCCATCTCTTCTATCTCGTGTGTATGTGCATACACGCGTTCTGGTCCCTCCTGGACCATGTCATGAGAGAGACATAGTAGTAATAGTAGGCATCTATCAGTCCCGAGTCTCTAGATAGATAGATAATAAGTTAAGTGACAAGCAAAATGGTGTGTAGGTACCAGAGAGGAGGCGAGCCAGGGGGAGTGGAGAGACAGCTGAAGGGGGGTGAGTGACCTTGAGGGACTAGTGGTGCTGTGTCTGCCCTCGCAAGGTTACACTACGAGGTCAGTTGATGAAGGGCACCGTGTTGAGAGCCTCCCACCACGCCAGTCAACTTCTTCTACCTCCATACTAAACAAGTCTTGCTACATCCAGGTGCCGCCAGCGGCTGATTGTTAGTGGAGGTGTACTGTAGTCTAAGGACGCGGGTAGGGGAGGTTTTATGCCCGGAACTTGGTGGGAGGATGGTTGTGTGCGCGGAACGTGGGTGGGAGGATGGTTATGTGCTCGGAACGTGGGTGGGAGGATGGTTATGTGCGCGGAACGTGGGTGGGAGGATGGTTATGTGCGCGGAACGTGGGTGGGAGGATGGTTATGTCCGAGGAACGTGGGTGAGAACGCGGAACGTGGGTTATATGCGCGGAATAGGTATGGGGGATTTATGCGTGGAACTAGGGAAGTCGGGTGTGTATGTGTGTGGAACTATTGAGAGTAAGGGGTGTAAGTGGGACTGTGGGGGGGGGGTTAGAGGGGATGGGAGGTGCGTGGGTCTGTAAGGGATGGGGGGGGGGTGAAACTGTGGGGGGTGCGTGGGACTGTGGGGGGTGCGTGGGACTGTGGGAAAGGGGGGGGGTGTGCCAAGGAGAATTTGAGCAATGACTATTATCACATTGTCTGGTCCCATTACTGTGTTGACTATACGAATACCTATTATTACAACAGTTGTTACACCTTTTATTACTTCAACTTTCAGGTCTTTGGGCATTTCACAGTTCTTCTAGTTCTGAAGTACAGTAATCTCTTTAATTTATATGTTTTAACAATTGCATTAAATTGTTGAAAGCCGTAGTCGGTAATCTTTCCTTCAAGCGTCATTGGCGAATCAATCCTTCAATCAATCAACCAATCAATCCTAAAGACATGCTTACCAACTCCAAGGATTGCCTTACCATGAATGCCTGCATCTAGACGAACCCACCTAATCTGTCGGAGCCGATGTTCATTAATCTGAGCATACATTCAAATTAGCTTAAAGTCCAGTGAAGCTCCTTGGTTTAGACGCTGTTGACGATAGGGATCACATGGAGGTATTAAAGATGTGTTAAGGTGATAAATATCCCCGCCTTCCCTTCCACTTCCTGCAAACTCATCTCAAGAGGCTGGTTGACGAGACCACCAACCAAGAGGCCCGGAGCCGCTGGGATATCAATCCCCGGAACCACCTCAAAGTAGCCTAAAGGTAGGCCGGCCGTCATTTCTTGAGCTGTCATGTTTTATTGGCTTGCTCATGGTTCACCTTCTTGATAACGAGGAGGGGAAGAGACCTAACGAGTCATCGTGAAAATGATTAAGATTCGTGTATATTAGGATAGGGAGTAAAGCCCATCAAGGCATCCAATGGTGTCCAGTAGTGTGTGTGTGGTAGCGGGTGTGTGTTCCAGGAACAGCAAGAGGAACCGAGGTGATGAGTAAAAACAATGGTGGCGCCCGGCTGAACCTTGGGAGCGGTGACAAGTGTGATCAACCCTCCCAGTATTTCCTCTCCCGAGCTGCACCCACCACCCTCCCTCCCTGCCTGCCCCCTCCCTCCTACCATCTTGTGGAGTGCCCGGTCAGTATGCAAGACCTGCACACGCTCGCCTCCCCGGGGTCTTCAAACTTGTTAATGCCACCGAGCCATTACATTAAAACAAAAACAAAAAATTCCCGGAACCCAAACTCAGACGCAGCTTTTCGAGGATGTATGACGAATAGTAATAAGACTGAATTTTTACTCATTGTATTTTGTACTTACATATTTTTTAATCTGTATGCTTAACAGCCATTACAATTTAAAAATAATGTAAATGGATATCAATTTGTAATCCTCCCTTTTCTAATTACCCCAAATTCTGGAATGTAACAAGAAATTTTAGAATCGATATTTTACCAAAAGAAATTCCTTAATGGCATAGATGGAGTTGTCTTTTCTTGCATACAGTAGAAGGTAACCTCAAGAAGAAGGCCTCGGATACCATAGTGGTGAAGTTTAAGTTAGAGGTAGTTATCATAATTCACTTTTGTAAACAGAGTGGTAGACGGTTGGAACAAGTTAGGTGAGAAGGTGGTGGAGGCCAAAACCGTCAGTAATTTCAAAGGGTTATATGACAAAGTGTGCTGGGAAGATGGGACACCACGAGCATAGCTCTCATCCTGTAACTACACTTAGGTAATTACACTTGGGTAATTATACATACACACACACACACACACACACATACATACATACATTCCCAGGATGCAGCCTATGGCTGCTTGTCAAGCTCCGGTCAAACGTGCCGGACCAACCGGGCTGTGGTGGGTATGTGCGCCTGCCGGCCGCTGCAAGCAACATCCTAGTGGACCAAACTCTCACAAGTCAAGCCAGGCCTCGGTTTGGGCTTGGGGAGTAGAAGAACTCCCAGAACTCCATCAACCAGGTACCAATTTACTACTAGGTGAACAGAGGCATCTGATGAAAGAATCTACCCATTTATGTGGGTGTAAATTTGTATTTGTTTTTTGCTTATATTGTGAGATAGACTATACCTAATAAAGGGACTAAAGCTACATTTTTTTAATTAGTTGTCATCAAAATACAATATATCTAATTGTGTATGTAACTACAGTACTGCATACAGTACTGTGTGTGTTGTTTTTAAAAAGTTTTTAAAAATGTGATCAACTTTCTCTTGACAGGTGTAAAATATGAAAGAGTCATGCTCAGTAAGCCTACCTTACCTTGAGGTGCTTCTGGGGCTTAGCATCCCCGTGGCCCGGTCGTTGACTAGGCCTTCAATTAACAATTAACAACGCCTATAATTAATATGCTGTGTATAAAAAAAAGTACAGTAATAGAACAAGAAATGTATTTAGATACTGTAGTGTATTACCCATCTAATGCAATCTGCAACTCTGCAGTGTTCATTTAGGTAGTACACAACTGGAAATTGGTAACCGTTATTACTACAGATTTGGTATACAGTATTTCTCTAGCAATTGAGAAATCTGCAATACCCTTGTTAATATTTTGGAAATCTATAGGTTAATTAAATTAATGTTTTACAATGAAATGTATAGGCCTTCTTTTATGTTTTTCCCACAACCCAGCATTTCCCATTATGATTTAGGCCTCTGTAATCCTCTTTTGGCAATTTTTTATATTTTATTACTGCACGTTTGTTTCAGTGTAATGTGGCGTTAAGTGATTTGGTCGTTGTACTTATTCTTCAAACTTAATTTTGCAGGGTGGCGGTGTAAAGGGCGACATGAGAGTGCCGGTGGCGTCTGTGTACCAGCGGGCAGGTGGCGTGGTGGGAATTGTGGCAGTGGCTGCATCAGCCCCGGCTGCTCATCCACACATAGACCACGATGAGGAGCAAATCTCTCGCCTCGCCCACCACCTCTCCCAGATCTCCGGCGACCATGACGGGTTGCAGGTAAAATTAGAAGAAATTAAATGATTAACTGGTAATGTCCGCTTGGCTTATGGTTATCTTAAAATTTTCACTTGATTACCTGTTGACCTATTAATAATCTGGTGACAATTTTGAAATTTGTAATCCTGCAACCTGGCAGCCTGGCCTGTGGCTAGTCCTGTTTGCCTTGGTTGCCCTAAAATCTAAGTAACCATCACAGCCAGATTGCTCTGGTAACTCGAGCATAGACTTGTCCAGTTCCAGCTTGAAAGTTTCCACTGTTGTTCAGTGACATTATTAAATTTGTTGACAGATTACAAAGTTATGGGTCTCTGATGTATACATTGAACTTTAGTGTGTTTATGGCACCCCAACTTTTTAGTGGACTTATTTTACACTTCTTACCATGTCTCTCATTGCAGCATGTTGTAATTTTATTGTTTACATTTGGAACCTGACCTTCGAGTATTTTCCATGTGTATATCATGAGATCTCTCTCACATCTCCTTTCCAAGGAGTGCAGTTTGAGAGCTTTGTGTCAGTCCCAGTACTGTACTTCAATTGCTTCACTTATGGTGATTTACTGGTTCTTTATGGGCAGTAAAATTTATTTTGTCAATAAGTACAGTAACTTTATAGAGTGCAGTGTGGAGGATTCCTTGGGAACCATAACCGTTAAGGTCTGATATTAATATGCAAGGTAGCATGATGTTTTTAGAGTGCACTGATTGTATTTTAAATTAGTTTGAAGGTTCATGTTCAGTACAGTACTGAGTTCTGATGTCCGGATACCAGAAACAGCCCAGTTTTGGTGCTGGTGTCCAGACACATCGTTTATTACCTATAGTGTACCCAACTGGGTGTCTACCTCTGTCACCCTGCAGTATAAGGACCAAACATGTGCCTGAAGCAAAAAGAGGATTAAATACAATATGATCCCTTTAATTTGATATGAAAAATGAATATAATATTTTTCCTTTAACTTTAATTTTGCAGTATGTTACTGTATTGAAGTACAGTACTGTATATTCAAAGAGTTTGTGACATTTTTGTGGTTTTGTTCTTCTCGTAACTAATTCTGGCAACTTTACCATTTACAGTGCTGTACCACAGTAAGAGCTGGGGATTTCCCATACCTGCCTTAGTTAAATGAACAAATATATTTCTTTAAAGTTTCAAATCTGTTCTTCCCCCCCCCCCCCTTTTTTTTTTTTTTACATTTCTAATCTGCATATTTCCTAAAAATATGTATAACTCATTATTATGGGGGATCACCATTATAGACCTATGTTTTTAGTTTATCATACATAGGATTATTAGGTATTAAAAGGTATTTCATATAGTTATAGTATTTGGTGATCTTGCCTGATAGCTTTCAGTGTGCTCAGGAAATGATTGACCAAATGTCTTTTCATAGGTGCTGATACATTACCAGAAAATTGATCAATTGTTCTGATCTGTTTTGTTTTACAGGTGCTGGACCAGGAAGATTTGGCTGCAATACTACCAGATGTAAGCAGTGGTAGTGGTCACCAAGATGGGTCGTCTGTGTCACTTGATGGGTTCACAGATGATGTTGTAGTGTCTCGGACAGGCTCTGACACTGAGGGAGATGAGCACGGTTCTGATGTGGCTGGTGATGACGATGATGATGACTTACCAGATGTTATTGTTCGGGAAGCTATTAATTCCATGGCCATTGTGGGTGAAGAAGCCGCTCTCAAGTTCAACACAGTACTGCTGGATGACCTGGACGATGTGGAAAGTAGGAATCGGTCTCGTCATCAGCAGCACTCGCAGCAACAGCAGGGTCAGAGCCGTTTAGGGCATCAACAACGGACATCGAGGAGCCCAAGAACTGAAACAGGCTCAAGAAATCGTGATGATGGAGTTCATGGAGATAAAAGAAGAAGAGGAAGGCCCCCTCGGCCTATAATGGGAAAGGATGCTCATCAAGAAGAAGATCTAGATCCTCCTCCCATGCCAGAACTTGAAAGCTACGTTCCATTAGATTGTAATGTTTCTAATGTGTCTCCAGACAGCGGCATACAGTCAGTGAGTGGTTCTCCGTTGCATCACATTGGTTCCCCACCTCACCACCATTCTCCATTGTATAGTGCGGGCAAGTCTGTCGATGGCTCAGGAAGCCACAATCGGCCATATTCTCCTACTTTGGTTTCTCAAGATTCTCCTCCACCTCCTACCTTATTACCAGCTGTTACTCCTCCTCATTTGTTAAGTTCACCTCATTATGATTATGATTCTCCAAATTCTCCCCAAATGCCAGCTCTAAAATGTCAAGTAGATCCTCCCCCAATATTGCAAGCAGATAATGCTAAGCGAACTAGCCTTGAGGAACAAGGTACTCTTAAAAGAAGAGGACCAGGAAGACCAAAAAAACAAGAAGATAGACCTAAGCGACCTAGGGGGAGACCTAAAGGATCTAAAAATAAAAGACCAAAGAGTGTGGATGGACCATTTGTAGTAGATTTCAAGGAGAATGCTCAAAAACTCCCAGAAGACTCTGATAGTTTTAAGTGTTATAGAAGTGAACTTGGATCCAGTGCACCTGTGGCCCACGTGTTGGGTATGTGTGGTGTTGATAAGTGGAATCATGGTATAGATGCTGAGGACCTTCCTCCACCTCCAGAGCCCATCCCTCCGTTGAGACGTGGACCTGGCAGGCCCAAAAAGATCCCTCCAGTGTTAGAACCCAGTGTACCCCTCCAGGAACCACAGATAAACAAAGTACAAAGTGAGCACAATGCAGAGTCTTGTGCTGAAGACAGTGCCAATCTTTCTAGTGCCAAGCCTGAAACCCATGTAGCCAGTTTTGAGCCATCCAATTCTGTGAATTTTAATCATAGAAACACACAAGACAAACGTTTAAAGGGAAAGAGGCCAGTGGGTCGGCCAAGAAAATATCCTAAAAGGGAGGAAGTAAATATGTCCAGTAATTTACCTGCCACTGCAGCTAGCAAAAAGTGTTTCAGTGAAAGAATAATGCATAAAATTATAAATGAAAAAGTTCGTAATAGTGAAAAATCTGATAAATTATCTGTCCGAGTTGAGGATATTGAAGGTTCCATTGAACCCTTCAGTGATCCTTATACATTTCATGACCTTCCTTTTGGAAACTTACAAGAAGCTGAGAGAAAGCATCAGAAAAAACTTCTTAAACCAAAGTATAATAGTGAAGGTATACCTCTGGAAGGGAAAAGAAAAAGGGGAAGGAAAAAAGAATTGCCAGCTATTTTTGAAAAAGTGTATGGGAGTCAAGATCTGAAAACCAGAGTCAAGAGTGAAAGTGGAAAACCATCCTTTTGTGCAGCTACTTTATCATTTAAACAGATACACAGAAAAAAGAAAAAGAAGCCAAAGCATTTCAAAAGTAAGCATAAAAATATTGTGGACCCAGTGTTTCTTGCTGACTTGGAAGATCTAACAAAAGGCATTCAGCAGTGCTCAATATCTAAAATCCCAATCCTTCAGCAAACTAAACCCGGTGAGATACTTTTACCTTCAATATTTCGCTTAAGGAAAGTATCTTTAGCAGCCAAGAAAAGACGAGGCAGTGAAAAGACCAGAACGAGTGACAGAGAATCGGGAACAGAAGGGGAGAGTGGCAAGGAGAAAGCATTAAGCAAGAGAAAAAAGAAATTACAAGAAGTACCAAAACAGGTAAGATATCATCTTGAAAAATTACTCTAATTATATGTAAGTACAGTAGTGTATTTTCTTTTATAGGGCAGTTTCACCTATCCCTGCTCTGCCTAGTTTTTCTTTTGTCAATAAAACCCAAACATGTTTAAAGATGTGAGTTGTCTGAAACTCAGAGGAAACATGCCTTGATCTAAAAGAATTTGTTTATTGACCGTCATAATTTATTCTGGAATAAAATTATGCTATTTAAATTTTAACATTTTATGAAGATCAGACATACACATGCATTGAGTGAACTGTATATCACCATAATTATTTGTCAAATACATTGAGTGTTCCTCCAAAAGTGTTAAACAATTCATACTATATGAAAGATCCTACACGTGGCCAACTCCTCAAGAATAGGGAGTTCCCATAGACAGCAAAGCATTTAAAGGACAGTATATAGATAGAATACAGTACTGTATCTATAGCATAGTGGGGAAACAGCCTGTGGGTTCATGGCTAGGTTAGGGTGGGACAGCAAGGCATAGTGTCCTCACTACATTAACCACTATGCACCCAGCAATGCATGGAAACCCAGATGGAAAGTAGTTTGCAGGTTGTTTTCTTATTGAAAATATGGCACTGTACTCTATACCTAACACTATAACTATAACTAACTTATTACAGCATACAGGTATATATATATTTGACTGATTTCTTTGCAAGAAGAAATACAGCAGTTAGAAGTTTTTGTATTGATTATTCATTATTTAAGAAATTTTGTAGTACAGTAAAACTAAACAAAAATATTTATGCGATAAATATTGTAACTGAAAGACCTAGGCCTGGATAATTCAGAAAGATTAATTTGGTACAAGTCAAGAGAGGAAATGTAGATTCAACAGTATTAAATGCATTAAATACAGTATAAGATCTAAATATATATACAGCATTTTGAATTAGACTATGCAATTATGAACAAATTATGCAATTATATGGGTGAGTAAATTTTAATTTTAGAAATTGCCTAGAGATTAAGAAAGTTAAATTGTGGTGGAGGATAAAGTATTTATTGTACTACAATTAATGAGTAAAATACTGTATGGGTGAAGGTTTATTGAGAAAAAGTGGTGATATTAATCAATCTTTTAACTGTTCTCATAACAAGTTAGCTCTCTAAATTCTTAGACATAAGTTTTACATTGTTTTAGTTCCTTGTGAGTGCATTAGTCAGGTAAATGAAAACCATAGAACATACCTAGGCATCGCTCTGTCTAACTCAACATCAGTACTATATTTACGGGTATGTCAAGTCCAAGAGGGCAATGAATACAGGAAATTGGTTTTAAAAATGTTAAGGAAGCAATTTGTGAGGAATGAAGAAATATGTAATGGCATCAGCATCTAGAAATATTTTCCAAAGTCTTTTTTAGAGTTTTGCTTAATAATGAAAAGTTTTTACAGAATGAATGATACTTAGTTTTAAAGATGCCATGATTTGTAGATTTAAAATTGTGCAGATGCTATTCTTGTGCTGAAGTTTTAAATAATTTACTTGGAGAAATATGAAGAGTAGAATTTACAGTGACTAGTGTATTATCCTAATGTTGCCACTTTTCATCAAAATATTTTAAGACAAATAGCTAATCATTATAATAATATCACTGAATTAAATATTTATGATTAAGGAAATAGAAAAGGTTTACCATAAAAACTTATTTTTCTTTAGGTTTAAGTGAGGCCTGGCGGTGTTATTCTGCCTTGTTGACTAGGTAAGGAGTAGGGTTGATCAAGGGATAGATGAATGGACTGTAAAGTGATATATTACATGAGCATTTGGAGTGAGGAAGACAAGTCAAAGACATTTGCTTCTCTACAATTATAGTGAATGGATTAGAGAAAGCTATAATTCTATTTATAAATGATACATTTACAATATATTCAGCATATAAAAATCTACAAGTTTCATCTGTCTATTACAGGGAAGCATAGTGTCTTTGGATGCATAAATGTCGGTGGATACTGTCATAACATATAATAACAGTAATTGTTGTATTAATAACAGTGATGATAATTATATATAAGTAATAACAATACTGTACTATAATATAGTGTAACTGCATCACAAACTGTATAGCAATGAACCTGGTTCGCATCGTATGTTTTTCAAATCACCTGATGGCCTTCGTGTTATTTAGGTTTGCGCTTTTTGGGTTTAAATATATATTTTATTATCGATTTAATTGTATCATAATTTGCATACTAATATATCATATTTGCATTTGTTTGAAGTTTTTAAGTTTTTTTTAAAATTTGTTGACGACAGATCAGAGACCCTCGGACTGGCCCAGAATTGTGTTTTACATCACAGTGTTTTGAATGATCAAGTTTTGCATTAACAGTTTTACGCTAAATGTTGAATACTGTACAGTTATAGCATAAATTAATGAAAATAATAATAATGTTCTCTATTGACATGATGGTAATACTATACTGTATTGACACATGATGATAATACTGTACTGTATTGACAGATTACAGTAATACTGTACTTTCACAGATAATACTATATTGACATTATAATAGTGTATTAATAGATGATAATACTGTATTAATAGATTATGGTAATACTGTATTGACAAAGTAAGACAAAAAGTAGCAGTAATAAGTGCAATAATAATGACACTAAAGCCGTTTTAAAATGAATATGAAAGCAGCATAAATATCAGTAGATTCAGCTATAACTTGTAACCATAACAAATGCTACAGTGTACTGAATGATTATAATTGAAGTTATATCCCAATTGACTATCCCTCAGTTATCAACTCTCTCGTGAGATTATCCATCCGGGTCTTTCCTGTGTCATTAGATAAGATTTATACCTTTTTTTCTCTTTCTGGTCCAGATAGATAATTCAGCAAGAATTAAAGCTAAATTCTTCTTGATTACACTGATACTATTTCTTGAGAATCTTGAATTTTTGTCATAGTGAGAGATAGAGAAATATATACACAGTCATAACCAAATGACCAACTCATCTGCAGAAAAAACTACTTTTTCTGTGAATAATTGTTTTGAGAGAGTAGTCACTAAGCCTCGAATAAGGTTATTACAAGTACTGTACGAGGAGAGAAACCCAAGGCGTGTCATGAATGATTCCTCTACACAAATGATGTTTTAATATTTCCTATTATTTTGGATATTATTAAGCCATGTTTCAAGGTAATTCAATTTCTTCATACTGTAATTATATTAATCAAGTCCAGTAGAGTGAACACAAGAATTGAAGACACCTATGTGTAATATCAAAATATATTTGAGTAAAGTAATTCACTTTATAATAATGAGTAAAAGGCAAAGTAGAATATTTTAGTGTGATGCTATAATTTGGGAACAATGAATATACTGTGTGTGTATGTATGTATGTATATTTAATAATTATTTCTATATTTTTATGTATATTTTTATGTATATATTTTTTTTACACAACCTTTGGTGATCACGGATGGTGCTTGGGGGTAATAATTTATTTTACAAATTCTGTGACTCAATAGTATTTACACATAACTGGAGACAGAAAGCACACTGAAGGTGGTGTGCATTAGAAATGTAATTTAATATTGATTAAGATATGTTTATACTAAAGATGTTGCCATTTGTCCTTTTTTCTTTACTTAGGGTCGAGAGCGAACAGAAGCTAATGAACAAAGGCTGCCTCTGAAAAAACGACACCGCCACATTTCAACAGCAGTTCCTGCCACTCCAGAGCCCCCCAAGGTTGAAAATATTAAAAGTGAAGTTAGTGTAACAAAAACAAATGAAAAAGCAAATTGTGTCGAGAAAGAAACCAAAACTGAAAAGGAGGAGAAGGAGAAAATTAATAAAATTGACCCCCGGTCAGAGAAGTCGACAGTTCCTAAACCTAGTGTGCTCTCTGAAACACCAAAATCTCTTAGAACTGAAAGCAAAATTATTAAGCAAAGCAGTGATGATATGAACAAGAAACCAGAAGAAATACTATTAGTGAATTCAGTAACGAGAAAATTAGAAGAACAAGTGGCAAAAAGTACTAGACTTGACGAAACAGTACAAATACCAGATGTTTTAAATATTAAAACTGTGGAGGATTCTGAGAGTAGCAAAGTTACTAGAATTTGTGTAAGTGAACCAGAGGTGAACAAGACAGTGGAGAAAACTGAACCTGTCACTCGAGTAAACAGTGAGGTCCCCACTTCAACTCGTACTACGACTACTACCCCAAAGAAAAGACACAGATTAGAGGTAGATTTAGCTAATACTCCTGCAGCAGCAACAAGAGCCACATCAGGATTAATTAAAGGAAAAACTGAAAAAGAATTGCCTAAGGCCAAGGAAAAAGATACATCTGTTAAAACACCCGTAACAAAATCTCCTAAAGTTGCCAAAGATCCAGGTTTCAAAGAAGTGGCAAGTACACCTCTACCTAAGGTGGAAGATACAAGTGATAATACTCTTACTCTCAAGGTTTCTGGTACAGATGAAGGAAACCCAAGTAATGTTATTGAAGGAAGTAAATCTCAGGAACCAGTTGAACCTGTTGTACATCCGCCTGTTGTCCCCGAGCCTGAAATAGAATCTCAACCTCAAAAAGAGAGTTCTGGGACTCACTCAGATAGTGATATACCCAGTGAGCATGAGCCACTGTATGAGAGTGATCAAAGTGGCTTTATGTCTGATAAAGAAGGCCCCAAAGAAGTACCAACCAAGTTGCCACAAAAAAGACGCAAAAAGAAGAGAGAGTTAAGATCGCCCATTCCTAAAGTTACTGATAAACTTGCTCCAGCAGAAGTCACAGAAGACAATGAACCGCCTCCAATAAAAAAGAAAAAGAAACTAAAGCGCAGGAAAACAAATAGAACAGGATTTCCTACAATTAGAAGAAAGAAACGCAAGGTCAAAGATACTTTGGAACAAAAGGGAAATGAGAAGTGTTTGGAAGTTGAATCACTTAGTAATAACAGTAGTCTTCCTAGAGAATCTCCTAACAGTCTTCCTAGTGAAGCTTCTAGCAGTCATCCTACGGAGAGCTCTAGTAGCCTTACTGTAGAAAGCTCCAATAGTATTATAGAGGAAAACTCCAAAAGTCTTCCTGTAGAAAGTTTTATTAGTCAGAAACCCATTGATCCTGAATCAGAGGTAGCAATAGACGACAGCAAAGAAGCCCCAGAAACTCCTGCTATTCTTTCAGAATGTGAACCCACAGTAACAAGATCAAGTAGAGATAAGTCAGAAATTTCTTCATGTAAAGGTCCTGTTCCTGTCCCAGCACCAAGACCACGGGGACGTCCAAAGAAGGCCAATGCTGATGTCAAGCCATCATCTAGAACCCCATCACTATCACCATCTCAGTCGCCAGAAAAAGTTCCAAAGCAGCTTAGAGAATCATTAAGGGAAAGAAGATCAACCAAATCTGCAGAGGACACTCAAGTAGATAAAAAACCTGAGCCAGAACAAGATGAACAACAACTTGAAAGGATCCTTGAGAGAGTAGCCACCGGCATTGGATGTAGGACTCGAAGAAAACGTGATCTTAGTGAAGAAAGTAACAAAACAATCCAGTCAGATGGAAAGAGGCAAAGAAAAATTGAAGAAGAAGTAAGTACTGGTTATATTTTTACTAGAAAGTTATTTTAATGCAACTTTATTTTGTTGTATGTTAGTGTTTGTTATTATTTTTATCAGAATCTTTAGTACCTTAAACTACACTATAATTTCTCGAGATAGTCGTTCAGCCAATTATACTATAGCTAATTTTCCACGGCAGTACCTCGGTGCATCGTAAGGCCAGATATTCACCTGATCTGATGATGCAGTGCTTCCTTAACAGTGACTGAGAGAGTAAGGTCTAGTTCATTATGCCCTTCCTCCTAGCTTCTCTGTGCTTGTCCCCTAAGTAGCTCCCTGGTGTTTAGGTGCTGAGGAATGCACAGCCTCCTAAACACACCTGAACCTGAGGCTTATACAGCCTACTAAAAACTAGGATCATAATCAGGTTCTCTGAAAGAGGTGAGGCTAGCTTGTGGATCAGAACAGCAAACCATCCACATTTCCCAGGCTAAATGAAACAAGCCACTGCACCTAATAATGAAATAAGATGAAGAGAATGAGGCATGGGATAGGAAAGTTGAATTTTTATTACTCTTAACTCGTCCAACCGCTAACATTCCACTTGTTGACCCCTTATAAAGGGTACAAATATCTTTGGATGCTTCTTCAACTTATTAAGGTTAGCAGCTTCTACCTGTTACATTTGGTCTCATTTTTACTCAGTTTAAAAAGGCTGCCCTTATCCAACATGCATATTTCTCTCAGTATTCTATATATAGTAATCTTCTCTGCTCCTTTCCTGTTTAGTTAATAAATGGAGTTTACCCAGCCTGTTCTTTTAATCCTCTTAATTCAAGCAGTAGTCTTGCTGCTTTCTCCAGTTTTATTTTGTGCTTTACAAAGAGCAGATTCCAATATTGGCCTCACATATGCTATGTCAATTTTCTTGAAAGAGTCCTTGTTTAGATTCTTAAATACTGTTATGTTTGCCACCTTCCCATATGCTACCAATTTTATCGTGTTTGTATGTCTGGTGTCAGTGTTAAATTATATTCACTTTTAAGTCTTTTTTTCTCTAATTCCAGGAGTCATTCCTTTTTTATGTAGAGGCTATCTAGTCTCGTCTCCCTTTCCCATCTTCATGACCTTACACTTGTTGGAGGTTGAACTGCAACATCATTGTACCCTTTCTGGAGTTTGTTACTGTCTTCCTGCAATGCTCTTAATGCATTGGTTTTTATTCCCCATCCCTTGGTTTTTATATTCTTCCTTGTAAAAATGGAGGTGGTCTATAGTGTATCTTGGAAAGATCTTGACATATTCTAGAAGTGGGTAGATAAATATCTGTTAAGTTAAAACCCCAAAAGTATAAGGTATTGAAGAGTATGGTGGTGGTGGTCCTTTTGAGTTGTCATGTACAAACAAATCACTTATTCTAAAGCTCAAAACAAAACCCTGCCACCTAGTCCCATGTGCTGTTTACACCCATTCCCTATTTCCTTATACATATGCCATTTCTGGTCATCTTGACCTACCTATGCTACTCTTCTTCCTGTTAAATACTGTCTCTTCTGCAATTTCTCCGGATTCAGTTATTCAACATTACAAAACCATCGCAGTACACTATTCGGTTTTGTAATTTATCAAATTTTCACCATTTTTCTACGACATTTGAATTCGTTAGTCTAGTGTGTTCTATCATCACAACTGCATCTCAGACTATCCATTTCTACTGCTCTACTTCTTTATTTTTCACGTTCAAGCCATACAAGCATATCGCTCGTGCTACATCTCTTCCTCCCTTACTCTCTTTAACCTGGGCTTTCATTGCTCCTGCCACTTTCCTGACTCTTATTAATTTTTATTGAACAGAATATCCAGGTATTGTTTATCACTCACTTCTACTACTACTCTATTCTCACTAATTCCACATGGCTTCATTCACTCTACAACATCTTAATCATAACACAGTAGAGTAATTGCAAATATTAGCAACATCATTAGTTTGAAACTACACAAAAATAAATGACAAAAAACATTAAAAGTAGTTCAGTTTAAATGTTATAGAGAATGAGTTACAAATGACCAGACGATTTTCATTTTGACTTTAAACTTATTATCTATACTAATATTTAGTAAAATTGTTGAGAATTTAATAATTACATATAGGTTGAAGGGCAGTATGCTATTTCTAAGGTTTGAGGTACATATCACATCACTATATCTCAGGTATGAAGCATATAATGTACCAACATTTATTCATGTACATACTTTATATACAGGGTGCCCCATAAGTCTGGAACCAGTGCACAAAATGATGAAACCGGCTTTTATTTTTATTTATTTTATGTACAGAATCTGTTCAATGTGTCTACCATTATGATTGATACACAAATGCAGACGAGGTATTCAGTCCGCATTCACACGTCAAATGATGTCAGGAATGATGGATCCAGACTTATGGGATACCTTCAAGGTAACCTCAAGGTAAGGTACCCTGTATATTGAGAAATAACAAAAAAATTATTTGGAATTGTCATTATAGTCATGAATATTTTTTTTTCAATAGCACAGTTAAATCTTTAATAATTATTCTGTTTTAAGATAAAAAGCATATAAATTCAGGGGTAATGTTTTCTATACTGTAATCATCTCAGGACAGAATGAAAGTAGTACTATTCACAGACATGTGATTAACCAAGAAATAAAATGTTGAGAATATGAAAATTCATCTATCTGAGCGGGCCCCTCAGTTGCTTTGCCTGGCCAGAGTTCAAGTTCACTCAGGACACTGCTCACATTCAAGGCACTGGGCTACTTTGAGTCCCACAGTGACAAACAACTTCAAATTGTTTTCCCTCATAATCTAGGGGCAGAAAACCAAATGGATTGCTAAGGGGATGGTGTACCTAACACATACTACTGTTGAACTAGTGCAGATACCCTGTTGCCTGGAAAATAGCTACCAATATGATCTAGAGACACACCATGGGCTTGAGGAGCCCCCACAAGAGAGAATCCCCAAATGGTTGAAGTAGATGATTACCTGCTTACACACCAGTGACTATTGAGGAGCGAGAACTAGTTCTTTGTGTCATCCACTAACCATTTATAACTGATGCACTAATTTCCCCTCTCAATATTAACGTTTTCATCATATTTTTTTTAAATTAGAAATTAAAATTCCACCTTGGAGTATGACCCGAGTACCGGGGCATACTTTGGCCCCCCCCAAAAAATCCCTGCAAGGTCCAGTTGAGGGAGATCAGGGGTTAATTCTGGAGATCCTGTGCATGAATCAGAACAGAAACTGAACAAGAAGCCATGGGGAGTCCCCTGTGTGCTGATACAGTTTCAGAGAAAGCTAGACTTCTTAACTAAACTGGCCACTATAGACATGTGTTTCTAGAAGGAATGGTTTCCAGGCACAACAATAAAGTTAGCCAGCTTCCCTGACTCGGTAGTGTAATTTGTCGGATGTCAGCTAGTTGTTAGCTGTCATAGTGAGCAGTATTCCTCAATGTTAAGTGTTAGCTATGTTTTTCACAGGTGTCTACTCTTGGACTAATTGGGAAGATCATTTGAAAACTTTAGCATTACACTGGGGCAGAAAATCTCTTGAGGGTCTGGCATGTGAGTAGTGTCTTGATGAACGAATAAAAAAGGTACTGATGAAGGTCTTCTTGAATCTTTGGCATTTTTATAAATCTGGGGTTTAATGCCAAAAAAATTTTGGTGCATAATTTTTTTGGCATTCAGTACTGGATTCTTAAGTAAATTTACATTTAAATGTTTGCATTCATTCATTTATTTACTTACTTTTATTTATGTATAAGAAGGTTCATTGGGTTGTGAAAGTACATACTTTGGTTATTGAGTGGTACATTCTTGCAAAGCCACTAATATGCAGCATGTCACATGGGTGGGCATTTTGTTAAATGAAAAATTTAGCAAAATGCTGATAATTCTGACCCCACTGCAGAACATTCTTTAGTTTTGTGTCATTCATTTGCTCACTTATTATATTATTTTATTGGTGTACAGTACTGTATATTCTTTTATGGATTTTCCTCATATTCAGAGTACCTTCATAAAGTATTTTCCCTTGTCTCACATTTTAATCACTTAATTTTATTTCTATTTATTAATTTTTTAATGATGTACAAAAATATAATATAGTTCAGTTTAATTGATTTTAAAATTACAGGTGGATGATAGTGATGCAATTGTCTTGTCATCCGAGTCCATGCCTAGCAGTGAACCACCGTCAGGAGATGAAAGTAATCGAACGTTGACTGGAAATAGGAGAGTTCCCCGTTGGCGAAAGAAATATCTTGTTGCTGGCCTCTTTTCAACTTATTACAAGGAGGATGAGTAAGAGCAATTTTTTTGTGGTTATATGATAATTTCTTCAGTTATCTAGGCTTTCATATTCCCAACAATTTTTTATTTTATATCTTTAGAATGCAGAGTCTGAGGGAGGGAAATATCAGGAAGCTAACTTTCCACTTTACTTTTAATAATGTTAAATGTTGCAATAGCTGATATACTTCTTCATGAAAAGTGTTGATTACACAATGTAACATGATATTTGTTTATGGGTAGTGTTATTTCCTAATTGCTTATGCCTAAAAAGTTTAGAAAATACAGTAGCTATTATTCCCCACAACCTATGCTTTTGTGATCAAGATTCATATTTTGAAAGTCGCCAGTTTCCAATGAGATAATGGGTGAATTTGCATCTGTGTGCTTTCATTGGTGTTCTTCGTGCTGTGTCAATAACAAAGCTAGCAGGGAAGCTTGGTAAAACAGCCTTGGAGCCCCAGCAGGAATGCCAACATTGTCAAGTCACTGATGACCTCTCACCCATCCTCCTCTTACTTGAAGGAATCGAGCAAGGTCTTGACGCTGTTATAATCCTCCTTGGGTTGCCCAGAGTGAGCCGGGGGGGGGAAAGAAGAGATGGGTACGTGTTCCCATTGTGGAGTTACTCCAAGTTTACTTGCACTGGATCTATCTGGAATGTTCTGGGTCAATTTCTAAATGCCACTGTCCTGGTCACAAAGCAAAGTTTATGAGAACTAATAGCCACAAATGGAGACATAAGCAATTAAAAAATAACACTTGCTACCCAAGTACTTTTTTTTTTTTTTTAAAGGGTGTTATCCAAGCCAGCCAAACTTTTTCACAGCTGCAAGCCTACCAATAATTTGTTTAGCAGTTTCAATTAAAATAGTTTGTTGATGGGATTTAAATATAATATAAGATAATTAGGGAAAAATAAATATTTTTGTGCAAAAAATATTAAATTTTTATATTTTGAGTATGAACAGGTGAATTTTCAGGTTAGACGTGTACTTTAAAGTAAGATTCTTCAGTCTAAATTTTGCAGGTCATCTGTAAAATAAAGGCTGAAAGTTCAGACAATTAGAATTGTATCTTCCTGCACTGCACACCTGTTATTGGAAAAAACTTCAAAGTGCAATTGTTAAGAACATATTTTTGTTGTTTTTACAAATGTTCAGGTAAAGTTAATGTCAAAATGTTTCCAAGCTAAATTATTTTCATTTCAAAACACCGAGAATAATGAAAACATTAAAAAACATTAAAATATAGCCTAATTAAGAAAGAAACGTTCAACTCTCAAAACGACATATGTTGGCTGGCGTAGTTGAGGGGTTAAAGTAAATACAGTGAGCTAATGTCACTTGAGTTTCTTCCTTGGGCTGTGTTGCTCTCTTAAATGACATGACATCAGAACAACCAGGCTAGTTTGACTTTCATAAGGTCATTAACAGTGAAAGGTAGACATTGGGCATTCTTCTACCTTGCCTGGCATGACATCCAGAGGATTCATTTTATCTACACTCAAAAACCTCCAAGTGATACTAAGCCAGTGGAGCTTTATCTCATTTGTGGGATTTCTTCAGTGTCTTCCATTGTGGCTTTGGCCTTTGGCTGTTGTCACTTCTGGCTCCTCAGGATTCTGTCTTTATAATAATTCCCAGAAGGATTACAGTACAATTGACTTGAGAATGGTCCAGGACGGACCGAAACGTCGTCGTCCCTTCACCTTCTAGTGTGTGGTCTGGTCAACTTACTTTAGTCACGTTATTGTGACTCATCGCCTGCATTACAGTACTCATTTTGATGTATGGTCACTTGTGTTTTTCCACAGTGTGGATGCAAGTTAGCCTGGGCCTTGAGTGATATTGCTGGTCTGTGTGCACTCTGTGGCACTGGTAACCATTCCCTTGTTTATTTTCTAGCTTTGTATGGTGTTTGGAGTTCATACTAAAGGAGCAACCAAGGAGGGTATTAGCTCAGAATAAGGCTTTAAGTGTAGATGATTACTCTAGTTAATTTCTGAACAAGTCACCTGGTTGCTTCCGTTTGTCAAAACTTGCAGAGTAATATGTGCCGTCATATGTGGGACTCTGGTCGGATAGAGAAATCTCCATTTTTCCTTTTTCTCATAGCCTGGTGGTGGTGAGGGAAATAACACTAATAGCATAGTGAGGTGAAAATGTCACTGTCCTGGCTGTTGTGAAGCCATGTGCTTGGGGTAAGCAGAACATTGCCTGAGGAAACAGCAGAGTGGCTTGCTTAAACTGGAGCCTTTAATTCACTCTCAAACACATGTATCTTTAATTTGCAGGCCTCGAAGAAGAAATGGTGAAGTGTCTTTACCAAAGAATAAGTTTACGTATGATCCAGAGGAGCATGTGCATGGTCTTCTCCCTCCACCCTGTTACTGCCGCAAGTGGTTACGAGAGAGACACATTGATTTTGTGTTGCCTTATGATCTTTGGTGGCTTCATGAACACAACATGCTGCCTGGGAGGGATCTTGTTCCATCCTGGAATTTCAAAAAAATCAAGTCAAGTAAGATTTATTTTTTCTTAAATGTCAGATTCCCGAATGGTTAGAAATACAGAACTTTTAATGTTGTAATATAGCGTTTGTCTCTGGCAAATAGCTTTTGTGTTGATTAACTTTCATGTGTCAAAGGGCTGGGCACTATTCCTTCTCTATCTTCATATCCCAGCTCCTATTCTGGCCTCACATCTTTTTCATGTGCTATTATAGCCATACTGGCCTAGTGTATTCTCCTAGTAATTATTTTTATATTGTGTAAAGATATATTTTTCATGCCATAATTACAGCATGGATTTTGTGGGTTATTGTGTATTTTGGCCCAAGACTGGAACATCAAGAGGGAGTGTTGGTCAATAGCACACCATGATATTGTATAAGACAGTATTTTGTGCTCTAATAATAGAGATGGTGTCCTAGCATTGTTACCAGAGGAATGGAATTTGAGAAGATCAAATATACCCAAAAGGTTACTGTATAATATATAGAAAGAGTATGGTGTTCAGCACATAAGATATACAGTCAGCATTTTGTGGATCTGAGAGATTTGTGATTGCCTTCTCTCCAGACCAAATCATTAGGGTATTAGTAAGACCACTACATTTCTATGTAAATTATGCCAAACTTTCACGTGGTAAAGAAAATTGGAAAGAGGGGCAGAAGGGAAAAGGTCCTTGTACTTGGTGGTAAAGATTACTTTATGAGTTGCCTGAATATTCTGCCAGAATATTTAGGCAGGTTTCCTGTGCATTAAAAACTCTTAGCCATATACTTTTCAATGTGAAAAATACAGTTAATATCTTTTGCTTAAAAGTTCATTGTAGACATAAATCTACAAGTCCAAGCTCAGATAAAAGCACTGTACTCTAGGGCACAGTCCTTGCACCACTGCTTTTTCTCACTCATGTCAGATAGAGAGAAAAATGCAAGTCACAGCTTCGTGTCAACTTTTGTAGACGATATAAAAATTGGCATAAAAATTACTTTTGTAGATGACATTGAAAAACTACAAGCTGATATTAATGAAGTTTTTGATTAAACACCTTTCGCCTACACTCACCCTCACCCACACTCCGTCATACTCACTCCTAGCCATACTTACACTCACCCACACATGGGCGCCCCCAAAAATCAAGAAACACTGATGAAGAAAAATATCAGAAATCGTTTATTATAGAATAGTTAGGGACTGGAATACATTTGTGGAGAAAGTCATATGTGCCAAAACTACCACTAGTTAATGTCTGATGACATTTTTGAAGAAGACAGGACACCATGAGTATAACTCTTATGCTATAACTGCAATGTCAAAAGTACACACACGTGCATACATCTAGGATGACCTAGACAAACTAAAGGAATGGTCCAACAAATGGTCCAGGGCTAGTAAAGTTGAACCCAAGTAAATGTAAAGTAATGAAACTAGGCAGAGGAAATAGGAGACCAGACACATAATACCGAATGGGAGATATAATCCTTCATGAAACGGACAGAGAGAGAGATCTTGGAGTTGATATCACGCCAAACCTGCCTCCTGAAACCTGAAGCCTACATCAAAACAATAACATCAGCAGTGTATGCAAGGCTGGATAACATCAGAACTGCCTTCAGAAATCGTTCAGAACCATGTATACAACATATGTAAGACTAATCCTGGAGTATGCGACCCCAGCATAGTCTGTACCTTATCAAGCACAAGACGAAGCTGAAAAAAGTTCGGAGGTACAGTATGTCACTAGGCTAGTCGAAGAACTAAGACGCATGAGTTACAAGGAAAGGCTGTGTGAACTGCACCTCACATTGCTGGAAGACAGAAGAGCTCGGGGTGACATGATCACCACATAAAAAATTCTCAAGGGAAATGACAGGGTAGACCAGGATGGATTATTTAACATGAGAGGTACATGCACAAAGCGACATGGGTGGAAGCTGAGTACCCAAATGAGCCACAGAGACATTAGAAAGAATGTCAGAGTAGTTAGTAAATGGAATGCACTAAGAAGTGATGTGGTGGAGGTTAATTTCATACAGTTTCAAATGTAGATATGATAGAGCTCGAGAAGCTCAGGAATCTGTACACTAGTAGATTGACTGTTGAGAGGCGGTACCAAAGAGCCGAAGCTCAGTCCCTGCAAGCACAACTAGGTGAGTACACACGTGTGCTGCACATTTGTACCACTTGTGTGTGGCCTTTTAATAATTGATCTTCACCTTTACCTTGCTGATTTTGAGCCTAAGCTATTTATATCATGATGTGCAAGGCATTATCCAGCAACAATCAAGTCTTCAAACTCCTCTCCTTAACTCAAGCTGCATTATTTGGACACTTGATTAAATACAAATACAGTAGTCGTTTGTTGCGATACTGTACTTGACTTTCATTCACGCGTGGAAAACTTTTACTTTATGCTGAGAACATGCCTAGGCATTTGGCTTTTAAAATCTACCGAGGACAAAGCAAGAACTCAACAGAAATGCCACATAAAGAGGCGAGGCCACTGAACCCAATACGTTCTACCCTCCACACTCCTTTTTTTCTGCAGTAATTAAGGTATGTAATATTACTTTATACATGCATTATTAGTGATTAATAATCTATTGAAATTCAAGTTGATTGTAATACTTTGTACATAATGATTTATGGGTATTTATATTTTTGTGTTTGTAAAATATTTTTGTTTCATTCTAGAATCATCCAGCCATACTATCAGTTCCAGTGCCAACAATAGAGCGAAGAGGAGAAAGATTTTTTTTAGTTAATGAAATCTTACAACAAATAGATAAGTTGACACCCAACCCACATACAATATCTGAAAATAAATCCCAGACAATGTTTCAGACCTTCCTGGACCATTATCAAGTCTTGTCAACAAATAGACAAGTCTTCTTATTATTCAGATAAGGATTCAGAATGGGTTCAGGCGGTAGAAATGGTGATGCGAGTGACATCAGCTTCCACCACCTCACGAAGCTACATTCCTAACATAGATCATAGTGAAAAATGTGTGAAAGAACCAGTAAAGTTAAAGATGTGTATGATTTTTATAGGTAAAATTGAAGTAAAGGTAATTGATCAATATATACCATACTAATGCTTCGAATACCTTTACCCCAATTCAACATATAAAATTATTGCTGAGCAAGATGATGAGTGTACAAACACAATCATAGGAGAGAAAGGTGTATTACCAGAGACATCGTCTCAACACCAACATTGGCATTTGGTTTCACTAAAAGAATTTAAAACTTTTCTTGTTCTTTTGTTTGCCTTCTTGTTCTTATTGTTCTTTTTCTGTGTTTTCTTTATTCTTTTTTTCTTATTTTTCTTTTCTTATTTTGCTTTTCTTATTTTCTTTTCCTCTTCCTCCCTCAATAGGTTCTAATTGATTCATGCATGTCTATATTTCGGCAAAATGTGTAATGGGGGATAAAAGAACAAACGGCTGTAGGCTGAACATCATACGTCAAAATTTGAAGAAAAATGCCCAGAAACTGTCAACTCGCATGGGACCAGACTGTCATTTCCACTAAATGATAAAATAATGGTGTGATCCCTGTGGGGTGTCTCAAGGAATATATATGTTATATAGTTGAAAGTGTATATAGGTAAGAATGATACAGCTCCAGAATGGAGACTCTTAAGTTACAAAATACAAAGAAACTTGATCACAGTTTGAAAATAAAAGCCATATTGAATTTATGGATAATTCTAATTCAAGTATTTTCTTGTACAATATGGTTAGGCAGGCAAACATAATGATTGTTACTCTTGGTAGAGGGCATATTACCATAGATATACAATACTGAGAAGTAAACCATATTGTCCTTTTCCCTGGGAAGACTTGGGTTAAGGTGAATATTCTGTCAACAGCAAAGCACTAGGACTGTTGGCATAACTAATGTCCAGGTCAAGTTCAAGAAGTTTATGGGTGGTGTAAATCAATTTGATCCCTTATACTCAGTCTAATCTTCAGCAAACAGCACTGAAATGGTGTTGCGTAATTCAAACTTCGCCTTCATCCACAAACCTAACCAAAAAGAAACAAAGGAATTCACAATAAAAATTAAACCAAAGGCCTTCCAACGCAGAGGAAATTCATCGCTTGTTTTATGGATTCGCCAAAAGATCATGTAGCAGATACACAAAGGGGATACTGGACTTTTGCATCATTGGCTCATTGATTAATGGAATGACATTTGAGGACAGTTTGCAGATAAGAAGCAAAGACTTTCTTGCATTTTCATTGTATACTACTAGCATAGGTCTACTGAAAAGAATATTAAATGCTAAAGAAACATACAAGTTATTTATGAAAGAATTGTTCCAGAGCTAACCCAAGTGTGTAGATCCCGATTTTGAAGCATCTTAGCACAATAAGAGTACAGAAACTTACGCGAGTGCCCAGAAGTTATTTGAACTGTTTAAGTGTAAGTGAAGCTCAAGAATTTCTGTTCATATGTACAGAAATTCAGGAGACCTGGTTAGAGACCGGGCCGGAGGGACGTTGATTCCCAAGATCAACGCAAGGTATGGTATGTAGTCAAGTCTTGTTAGGAAACATTATCTCAGGAAATTTATAGAATTATTATATTACCATAGTCTTTTATTTTATATAATAACCTTTCAGTTTATCCCAGAGTATTATTAATATTATCTACTTAATGTACTGTTATGGTTACAAACAAATTACTGTGTGTATGAAGGCGTGTTGCTTGTTTTTTACCTAACACACTATACATTAGTAGTGTAGTGTCAGCTTTGTCTTTGTCCAAGTTATGCATGTTTCTGAAATAGTTAAGGATTGGTATTGATAATTGTTGCCCATTATAACATTTTATAATTAGTTAATTTTTTTAATGATTGTCAATGCTATATATGGAAAATGCAGTTTATTCTCCATTTAATGCAGCAATAAAAATGGATAAAACCAATAAATATATGGTAAAATAAACAGTTGTGTTTTTGGCACCTAAATTACAGTTGCATTAAGTGAATGTATTACCTATGCCTAGGGGATGCTTAAGGCCTGCTACCTTATTCAGTTACTTTGACCATATTTTCTATTAAAAAGAAAAAAACTTTTTTTTTTGCTATAAATTTAATTAAAATTGCAAATATCATATGCAGTTAGTGTTTTCTTAAAATAATTTTAATTTAAAAAGGCTGTTTTACAAATTGAACCCCCATTTTTACCCTAGATGGAAATTCTGGCAAAACTTAAGTCGGTGAAAGAGTTAATTTGGATATCCCTTACATCCTTGCAGAATCTATTTAGATAGTATTCGGTCAATTCAATTATTGATGGAGTGATGGTAGTGTTAAAGATGTGTGTCCTGAGCTTTTCATAGCTCTTGGTGTTGTAGCCTTACCAACAGTTAGTCTTTGTCTCTTGTGTACCGGTCGGTCGAGCGGACAGCACGCTGGACTTGGCATGTGGTGGGTTCGATCCCAGGCGCCGGCGAGAAACAATGGGCAGAGTTTCTTTCACCCTATGCCCCTGTTACCTAGCAGTAAAATAGGTACCTGGGTGTTAGTCAGCTGTCATGGGGGTGGAGGCCTGGTCAAGAACCGGGCCACAGGGACACTAAAAAGCCCCGAAATCATCTCAAGATAACCTCAAGATGTAGTATAGCTGAAATATGTTTTTGCTATCTTTATGTAGCCCATCATCAAAACGAAGGGCCAGCAGGTGAATGATGTGCATACAAGATATGGACAATCCCAGTCAGTAATAGTCTGTATTTTTTTACTCCTGTCAGATTGATTGATGCTTTGTCTAAAGATGTGTCTCGTTCACTTTCAACTTGTTGTGTTAACATCCCCTAAATCGTGCAGTGTTCATGCAGTGCACATTAGCAAAAAACTGGTGGTATCAAGAGTTTGTTGTGCAGCACAAATATGAATGTTTTGACTTCAGGCTCCAAACAAATTATTATTTTACCAATTTCCCACATATACTCTATGCAACTTGTATATAATATAATGAAGATTAAGGCTGTCAAAAGGATTTAATAAACAATAACTCTCTACTTTTTATTTGACAGGAAATTTAATACCCGTTACCCTATTATAAAACCACCGTATACAGCCTACATACATAACATACATAACAGCACTGCATACCATAATCATTGGTGTTAACATATTTACCTCACCAACATTATATACTACCATCACAAACACCACATACTACAACCATCATCATCACATGTTATACCCACATTCCACCACCAATGCCACATACTACTGCCACCACACGTCACAAACCTCACATTCCATCACGTACCATCAGCACATGCTGCCACCACCATATCCCATTACCACTGCCACATAAACCACAAACTACCAATATAGAAAGCACAAAAAGAAACTTGAAAAGGCATGGAGATTTGCAGTAAGGCTAGTACCGATAGCACATTTGAGTGAACGAAGCTACGATTTGTTCTGATTTGTCTGATTCGTAATATCAGTGTAGCTGATGTGCTTAATTACGATGTACTAGAATTTATTTAAGATGTGTGCCTAATTACTATGTAGTATGTACAGTACAACTGTTTGAGATAAGTGCTTCATTATTTTTTTAATCTTTCCAGATGTGTATTATGATGTCAAGCCAAATCACGATTATGAACTTCAAGCATGCAACTGCAAGCGCCCAGTCAAACCTGGAGAACGTGGCTGTGGTGATGACTGCATCAACAAGATGATGCTCATTGAGTGTTCGTCTCAGACGTGCCCTATTGCAGATTCCTGTGGTAATCAGCCAATCCAAAGACACGAATACAAAACATGTCTCCAACGTTTTATGACTCCAAACAAAGGTTGGGGCATTAAGGCAACGCATGAGATCAAAGCTGGGACCTTTATAATGGAATATGTTGGAGAAGTGGTTAGTGAGAAAGAGTTTAAACTGAGAATGCAAACTAAATATGCCAATGATACTCATCACTATTGTTTAAATCTTGACAGAGGGATGGTAATTGATGGTCATAGGATGGGAGGAGATTGCCGATTTGTGAATCATTCGTGTGATCCTAACTGTGAAATGCAAAAGTGGTATGTTAATGGCCAGTACCGAATGGCTTTGTTTGCTTTAAAGGATATTGAAGAAGGAGCTGAACTGACATATGACTATAATTTCTCCCTTTTTAACCCTGCTGAAGGACAAGAATGTAAGTGTGGATCAGAAAACTGTCGTGGAGTTATTGGTGCTAAAAGTCAGAGAGTTAATGGCTTTCTCGATGATAAGAAGAAGGCTCCTAAGAAAGATATGGGAAAGAAACGCAAGCGTGGAGCAACTGCTGAAGCAGATAATAATTACATTCCCCGTCCACATTTTACACCAATCAAGCCACTGTCACACCAGCAACAACTATTCATTTTGACTCACAGGTGTTTTCTTATTCGTAATTTGGAAAAAGTTAAAAAGTCCAGAGATCGCTTAAGTCGATGTGCTGAGAAAAAGCATGAAGAAGTTTTAGATGACCCTGATGAACCTAGTACTCGAGTTGAGAAATTTCTCACACATTTCACTGCTCTGAATACTGCCAGGTCAGTTAAAACACGACGTCTTGCTCAAGCTGAAGATGACCCTGAAATGACTCGATTAGCCAAACTAGCTCAAATTTTCAAAGATATTTTTGATAAACTCGTTGCATCTAGAGATAGCAATGACAAACCTTTGGCTACTCCATTTATGACATTACCATCTAAAAAAAAGTATCCTACATATTACATAAGAGTCGGTGAACCCATTGATTTAGCTCTTGTAGAAAAAAACATTCTTACAGGCCATTACATTACTGCAGAATCATTTGACCGTGATGTTATGCGCCTTTTTGCTAACAATCTTAGATTTTTTGGGCGAAACACAGAAGTAGGTCAGATGGCTGTCGGTTTGAGGCGGGTGTACAGTGAGTGCAAATTACAATTCAAACCCCTACTAGAAGAAGTTTTGGGAGAAGATGCACTTCCACCTGCATTTGCTAATTCCAGTCCTAATGAAGAGTTTGAGGATGAAGATGTAATTAGATGTGTGTGCAACTTACACCGTGATGAAGGAGTCATGATACAGTGTGAGAGGTGTTTGGTGTGGCAGCACTGCGACTGCATGGGTGTGACTGACTCTCCTGACCACTACCTGTGTGAGGAGTGTTCCCCACGCCTCATCTCCCCTGAGGTTCCCATGAACCCTCAGCCTCCAGATGCTCCTAGGGATCACAAATACTTCATAACCCTGCTAAGGGACAACCTACAGGTTAAACAAGGTAGGTGGAATTGTTAAACAACCTTCTTTTCTTATTATCTCATCTTATTTTCAACTCCTTATTTTCCCTATTGGTTTAAATCTGCCATATGTCTTTGACACTCTGGTCTGTATTATAATTACAGTATATAAAATCCTCCCATGGCAAATGATCTGCATTTTCAGTGTACCGAATAGCACTGGACACTTACTTTCTTGTCCTTTATTATGAAGCACAAATATATGGAAAGCACAAGGAAATTATATTCCTGAAAGTAGTAAAATATTTCTTTGTTTGTAAAGTTCTAAATTATTAAATTAAATACTGAGAGTCTTGTACTTGAACTTGCAAGGGGAAAATATAGTTATAGGGGTAACATTTGCCTCTTAGGCCTACCTTGAAGATAGTAATAAGCACACATGACAAATACAATCTAAAGTTATGAGAGTGCAGTTGGATATCATAAGTGGCTTTATTAAATGTGCTTTTTAAATCTAAAACCTAAATGTAATCTTGTTGTTCTTAGGTGACAGTGTTTATATTCTTCGTGATCGGCCACAGCAGAAGTCAGGTGAAAGAAGACAGCCAGCTTACCGCCTTGTCAAAGACATCAAACCTCATGATCTATTAATATTCAAGATAGAAAATCTGTGGATTGATGAAAAGTATGTACTATTTCCATTTGAGATTTTCCTTAGAAGAGTAATTAACAATAACAAATAATTCTCTTATCACTGGTATTTATACCTGTCACTTTTTACTGTACATGTTCTGTAGAGAGTGTGTGTGTGTGTGTGTGTGCATATACCCTGTATATCATACCTAGTAGCCAGAATTGCACTACTTGGCCTAGTATGTAAGGCCCAATTTGCCTGACAAGCAGAGTGATTTTCGTTATTTTCAAATAATTATTTTCAAATTGGCTCATTTGAATTAATATATATTAAGAACTTGAATTACTCACTTAGGTTATGTTTGATCAAATTTCAATTAGTTATGACTCAAATTAAAAAATAATCGAAGTATATGTAATGTAATTGAAAGCTTTTATCATTCCATAAAAAAATTTATTTAAATATATAATTTCAGGACAATTTGGTTTGTTAGGGAATAACAAAATAAGAATAAAGCAAATTTTCAGACTGTAAGGATAACCTTGAATTGATTAATATAAAGTGACAATCACTTAAACTATATTCATGAATTACGCTATCTGTCCCATGTGATAGCACAATCATTGCTGAACAGTTTGGTGTGAAAAGGCATAGGATGCCAAAACTGCCCGTAGTTTAAAGGCATTATATGACAGAGTTCTAGGAAACCGGAACATCATGAGCATAGCTCTCATCTCGTTACCTTGAGATACCTTGAAATGATTTCGGGGCTAAGTGTCCCCATGGCTTGGTCTTCAACCAGGCCTCCTCTTTGCTGGACTGGTCAACCAGGCTGTAGGACGCGGCTGCTTGCAGCCTGACGTATGAGTCACAGCCTGGTTGATCAGGTAACCTTTGGAGGTGTTTGACTTCAAGTTCAAGTTCTCTCTTGAACACTGTGAGGGGTCGGCCAGCTATGCCCCTTATGTGTCGTGGAAGCGTGTTGAACAGTCTCGGGCCTCTGATGTTGATAAGACTTCTCTCTCAGAGTACCTATTGCACTTTTTCATTTGGTGAAAATTTGGCACCTTTGGTGAAACTTAAAAGAATTAAAAAATTCACCTATGGGGAAAATTTGGCACCTCGTAACTACATTTAGATAATAACTCTTTGGTAATTTCACTTGTCACCACCACAACATGCTCTTCACCCAGCGTGTTCTCACGAGCGTTCCCAACGTCAAGAAACTGTTGTACTGAAGTGCCTTATCCTACCCTACAAGAGGACTTATGAACAGAAAATGGGACATTGTAAATTTTGCGAGCCGCTATCATGTTCTAGTACAACAGTTTCTGTCCTTAGAGAAAGTATACAGTACATCAAAATGTGACATACTATTAGGAGGCTGGGTTGCTTCACCACCATGACACACTCGTACAAGTAATCTGTCACCTTAGTAGTTCTGTGTATACATGGATGGAGAGAGGTAAAGTATAAGCCACAGTATATAGGCCAAATATGAATAATTGGAGTATAGGTATTTCAGTTTTATTATATACAGATGATGCAGCTCTTTTAACAATGTGATGGAGAGTTATACAGATCAACTGAAAGTGTTATTTACATGTGAGAGATAACATAATTCCACATAAGAATGCGGACAAAAGATAGTGGGGAGAAAATGAAAGTCTGGGTGTTAAATAAATAAGGGTGGTTAAGCGTTAGATCTGGTTGATATTTTAAGTACTGGGATGTGTGAGTGATGAAAAATAAATGTGTAATAGAATTGAGTGTTAGATAAGTCAGGACAGAAACATGGCTGGTGCAATGAAAGCCTGATTTGAAAAATATATAGAACTGAATGCAGCATACTGGGTGATTGCTAGTGCTATTTGTCAGTTTGTTTATCTGGTTTGTGTCCAAAAATAATATCTATGCCTATTCAAATTTTTGGGACCCTTCATACTTGATAGCACGAGTAATATAATTGGTTTATGTATGTTAATTGCTACACACTGTACTGTTGTTAACAAGGCCGTTATTCATCACAGGGGAGACAAATTTGCATTCGGACATCATTACTTACGGCCACATGAAACATTCCACGAACCCTGGCGTAAGTTTTTCCCAAATGAAGTCATCCGTTCACCATTGTGTGAAATCTTACCCTTGGATATGGTAATAAACCATTGCTGGGTACTGGATCTCAATAGCTACTGTAGGGGGCGTCCCATTGGAGCTCAAGAAGATCACGTATATGTATGCGAGTATCGAGTGGATAAAGGTGCCAGAGTCTTCTCCAAGATCAGCAAACCAAAGTACCCTATCTGCATCAAGCCATATGCCTTCATTACCTTTCCAGAGAGACTAAGACCACAACGAACATACACTGTAAGTGCATTGATTTGTTTATTTTTCCTTCTGTTTGTGTTAATACCTAATGGTAATAGCCTTATTGTAATTAAAGGTAGAGGGCTATACTGGTGGTGGTCTATCTTTATGAATTTTATCAAATGCGGTCTTAAAATTAGTGGTAGTTTTGACATATACAACCTTCTCCTAATTTTGACCTTCTCCTAATTATGTTTCATCCCTTATCTACCTATTAAAAAAAATATATAATATTCCATTTACATCAGTGTTCTTGAAGTTGTCCCCTGTGTCCTCATGTTCTGTTTGGGGAAGGCAATAAGATGTCTACATTATCAACTTTTTCCTAGTTAGTCGTGGTCTAGTCGCTAGAAGCGTGTGTGTGGGAACATCCACTGCATAGGTTCGAACCCTCATCACAGCTCCTACGGATTTTCTCATTGATGCAGTCACGTTAGTGTGATTATTCTGTGTGTGTACTTTTTCCTGTTGTCATTTTTTTATATCAAGTGATCATCTTTCCACATTATCTTTTATCTTCCAATTTAGGAAGGTATTTTTTCTTTGTCATATTATCCATACTAAAATATCCTCATCTTTATATCTGCTGAAAATTCCTTAGACTCCCATTCACCCTTCCCAGGTGTTCCAACTTGTAAAGCAGTCATATGTGTGGAACCCTGTCAGCAGTTTTTCTTGGGAGGAAACTCTCCCCTTCAGTAGTTCCCCAAGCCTAACTCTGGTACAGTACTACCAAGTCTTAGCCCAGTATACTAGACTTCTTGAGACCCATCTGTCACCTACCATGATGCACAACCAGAATCTGGCTCGCTCTCCAAGGTAAGGGGAGCAGGGAATCAGAGGTCAACCACAAAACTTGCAAAAACTCACCAGAAAGCATTGGTGCAGCAAAACAAGTGACTGCTTGAGGGAAATTAGGCATCCTTAGGTGAACAAGGCAATTGATCATTGCCATGGGGGTAAATACTCTGATGCACCAGACCAAGTCATCCAAGGTCTCGTTCAGTCTGCCTCTCACTCTTCCACATAGTGTATCTCGTCTATGACCTGTAACCTGGATGTATTCAAGAGGCACTAGGACAGGTTTTTGCAAGAAGTGCTGGACCAACTAGGCTGTAGTGGATATGTGGGCCTGGGGGCTGCTCCAAGCAACAGCCTGTTGGATCAAGTTATCACAAGTCGAGCATGGCCCCAGGCTGGGCTCGGGGAGTAGAAGAACTCCCGAAACCCTCTCCAGGTACGCTCTAGGTAGCTTCTGCTGGGTCCATCGACGGCTTGTCGCTTTCAGCTAAGTGGTGATGGCTTTCCCTGGAACATTTTTCTCCACTGGGGACCATTTATTTATTTGCTTTTGTTTATGGTTCATGATTTTTTTATAGACCATATGCTCTAGCAGTCTACAGTATTTGGCTCTGACAGTGTGCTGGGATGTCTTACCTTGGGTCAGCTTGCATTTCCCCATACTCTGACTAGGAATACCTGCTCTGAAGAGTTCTGGGCTCCTTCATCTTATGAGTTGACTCCTGTTGACTCCCCTCACTTCTAGGAAGTGCACAAGATTTATTCTACTTTGTGGAGCCTGTTACAGTGTCTTCTCACTTGTAAAACAAATAGCATTGAGAATTATGTTCTTGTGCATGTTGGAGACCTGCCTGTCATGCTGTTCCTGCTCATGTGGTTGTTAGAAAGCTTGAGCTGTTGCTTAGGGTACACTTCAGTTGTGAATGTGAAAGTTGTGATCCATGGATGCTTATGCCTTCCCTCACCAAGTATTCACCTCAGTTAGGTGTTTGCTTCACCTGTGCTCAGCCCATCTGTCTGCCTGTGTGATGTTTTAGGTGGCCAGTGTCTTGTTGCTCTGTACGGCTTATTGTCTGGTTTATGTTTTCAGCTGGGTTGTTTTGGCTTCCACATCAGAGTCCACACCTGGCTTTGCAGTGTGCAATGATTTACCAGTGAGGGAGAGGGAGAGTAATCATCCGTATAAGCATCCTCCCATTACACAACTTTACGTCTTTTACCAACACCACCACCTGCCTTTAGCATAAATTCTTCCATCACCAACTCCACCTCCTTCACCTTGCCACCCTTATTCCCTTATTACTCCTACCGCTACTTTATCACTGCAACAGTGCCACTACACACCTTCGTCCAGAATGCACCAAGATACCCCATTCCTCTACTCCAGTCACACTCGTCCCATCATCTGCCATTTACCTTCCTCTCCTTCCCACAAATTCTACCCACCTGTTCTGTCAATCAATTTCTCTTTCTCTTGTGTTTATAAAAATATGTAGAGGAATACATACTGCATTATTTGTATTGTGAGATATTCAATAACATTCTTAGTTAGTTGTGACTGAAACACATCCAGTTTTATTTTTGTCTACATTGATGTCTTTAATATCTACAAGATACTGTATCTTTTTCAGCCACATGAAGTGATATCAAACAGTAGAGGCCGTAGCGGAAGCAGTGGGGGCTCTAAAGAATGTCGTGGAGGTTCAGAAGAACGTGGAAGCAGTAACAGCAGCTATTCAAGCAGTGGCAACAGTAATAACAGCTGTTCTAGTTCTGCTAACACTGCGGCCACTACCAGTTCCACTACAACTACAAAGCCCTGTTCTGCTAACAACACTACTATTACCACTAGTCAAAGTGATACTACCAGTAACAGCAATGGGGGAGGCAGCAGCAGCAGCAGCAGAAGCAGCAGATCTCGAGACCGAGGGGTTCCGCCTCCACCTGATGAGATAGATGACCACACCCCACTGGCTACTGTAAGAGCTGAGGCCAGGGCACAAAAGGCATGTGATAGCTGGCACCCAACCACCCCTGGCTTTTCTTGGGTTAAGCTCCTCACACCAAAGCTGAAAGACATAGCAACTTTCAATAAGAAAATAACATCAGCTTGATGTTTGGAGCATGCCTTTATTTTTACTGATTTTCTGTGGCTTTCTTTTATTTTTTTTTACTTTTTGCATGAGGTCTTTGGTGTGCCTTTTTTGTTTTTATTTAAAATCTTATGTCTTCTGTATGTGCCACAGAAAATCAGATACAATGAATAATTTTGTATCATTCATTAAGAAAAATCAATCTAGCTTTAACTATTTTTCATCAAAGGTACTTTAGTAACATTGCATTGCATAACATTGCATAAATTAATTAAATTAACGGTAAAGTCATAAATTTGTTTAAGCTTCAATTATTTGCAAAATTGTAACAAAATACAGAACTAGAAGAGGATGCTTCTTCCCCAGTAGGACTACAGCATGCCCCCTTGCTTGGGAATGCTAAAAGCCTGTTTGCTTGTCTCGCTTCCACTCCCCATCTGTAAAAAATTTTTGTTTAGTAGTTTAGCAACTTTTTAGTTGTTGTTGTTTGATAAACTAGCAACCACAAATAATGCTTCTGTGTGCACCTTGGAGTCGGCATGTAAATACAGATTTGGGAAGATGAAACAGCTCGTCAGGACTGTGTTTGAGGAGATGGGGGGAAAAAAACCCTCAAATTGACCACATTTGAAATTTGGAGTATATTAACAGGTCATGTTAGGGAATCTAGAGCTTATGTAAAGAAACCTGAGAAAGCTAATTCTTAATTGTTCTCAGACAAGTATCAAATGTTCAAAATTAATGCCAAATTTGCAAGAATGTTGCATTATGTGACCATGGTGTTGGTGGTACTGAATTGTGGTGATGTCGCGACCATTTGGCCTGAGATGGTTTACCATTGATAGGAACAGGAAGTTTCCTTTTCCCCCTCCACCCCCACCAGGCATTGTCTGTTTGGGAAACCTTGATAAGCCAAAAGGCTTCGTGTTCCCATCGATGGGAAACCTTCTCGGCACAGATGGTCATCACATCGCCACATATCAATACCGCCAACACCATAGTCACATTATGCAAGGTTAACATAGCTCCGTTTTGATATTAATACGTTATTGTTTTCATTTTTTGTCTTTATAATAAAATAAAGGCCTGTGTAAGTTAAAAGTTTAAATATTCATGAAAGTTTTTTTTACTTATTTAGATACAGTACTTTAAATAAAAATATCATCTATTATGCCAGTATCATGTAAACATTTATATATAAGAGGTATAATGATGCATATAAACAATGGCACCTCAAAATCTGAGCCATGTTCTGAACATGATCCATATTTGTACACAATCCAGTTTTTCAAATAAGTTACCATTTTTTACTAGCCTCTTTATCAGCAAATTTGTCAGAGTTTTCTAGTAGTAAATGATAGAGTACAGGTTTTACACATTTAGAAAAAATAATATACCATATAAACAATTATTTTCTTTTCATATAAATAACAAATATGCTACAAAAATACATAAACATGGTCATAGTTCTGTCATGCTGTCTGTTACGCTTATGCAACCCTAAACTGGCTATTAAGCCGTTAGTGGCCATGGTTCATGCCATTCTTTTAGCTTCTGACCCTGAATTCTGTACCACGAACACCTGCCTCTAGGCTAAGATGCTATGTAGGCCACTAGTAAATAACATTATGCAAATAATCATACTTCTGAGGGTTCAGTTGGTAATTATCATTACTGCTCTCCCTTGTACTCTCAGACTCCATGATCTGCTTCCTTTGCTTTTTAGTAAGATATAATACTAGTACCAACACCATAATCTGCCAACTAGCTAATCTGGCCCACATTAACCTGACATTCCAGGTAAGAATAAAATCTTGACAAGTGTTCTATTGTCGTTTTATTAGGGCAGGCCAGATCAGCGAGTTTAGTGTTTTACAGATACATGTATATGCAAAAAACAAGAAAACAATGTATTAGTGGCACAATGTAAGCCATTTGTGTGTGAAAGCATGTGTAAAATTGTGTGACATTGGGTTTGTGAAAGTATGTACAATGTGTGTGTGTTTGAAATTGTGTGTGCATGTGTAAGGTGTTAAAATGTGTGTAATTATGTAAGGAATTATATGATAAGATTTATTCTCCTGGTGTCTAGTTTTTTCCATATTCTTTGTCATATTATCATTTTAAAGCTTCCTATGGTTTTGGCATCCACCGCCCTCTTATCCAAATTATTTCAACCGTTCATATTCCTGTTCGTAGTAGAGAATTTCAATAAATTTTTTGGCCACCTTTGTTTTCTTAGCTTGAATTTATAACTTCTTGTTCTTGAAGCTGCAGATGTCTTGTCAACTTTGTCAGGATTTTGTATGTGGTGATCATATCTTTTATTCTATCTACTAGGTTTGTCATATTTAATGCCTCCAGCCTGTCCTGATAGATCTTTTTAACATCTGGAAACCATTTAGTAGCATGTTTCTCACTTTCTCTATTTTGTTGATGTTCTTCTTGAGAAATGGACATCACACAACTGTTACATATTCTAATTTTGGCCTCTCATATACCATAAACAATTCAATTAATATTTCCACATCCATGAGTTTAAAAGCGATTTTCACATTTGTAAATGTTACACAAGCTTCATATACAATATCACTGATGTGATCCTATGGTGACACTTTCATATTGATTAGATCTCTCTAGCACAGTGCTCTAACATTTATCTTTGTCAAAATATACTTTGTAGTCATAATGTTTGTAATAATTTTTCCGTGAAGTGAGCCAGTGTGTACACCAGAAGCATTAAATTTTAAACTGTCAACTACAAAATTTAGTTATTGTTCTTACAAAGTATTTTTTCTCTCATTTGGTTGATGATACATTAGCCACATTAAGACAACATTTAACTTTATAGCATCAAAAGTAACTTAAAAAATCAAATTATGAGCTTATACAGTCAACAAGACCCGTAATGGAACACTGCATCATTTTCTAAGTTTGTTAGTCCTTTAAAATTCTAGTAAATTTATATTTTTTCTTCATGAAAGGTGGACAAACATGACCTAACATAGGCTTACCCTTCCATTTATCTTTCTTTCTCTTTCCTTTTCTTTCTCTCTTCTCTCTTTTTTTCTGTTCGTTGTTTTCTCTTACGTTCCCTTACTATCCTCTTCTTATTCCTATTACTGTACTATCTCCTTCTCATTCAGTGGTTATAATAGGAGCTGCCTCATATGGGCTAATAGGCCTTCTGCAGTTATTATTCCTACTACTATCCCCTCTACTACACCTTACTTTGCTCCTCACCTCTCTTGCCTATTTATTGCCTGCATCTATTTCCTCATCACAATCGACTTGAGAATGGTCCAGGACGGACCGAAATGTCGTCGTCCCTTCACCTTCTAGTGTGTGGTCTGGTCAATTATTCCTGTATCCATATAAAAAGGTCTTAAGTATGATTAATCATGTCTTTGCCAAAAAAACTTGAAAGAAAATTTCTGGAAGTCACACCTTGGAGAAAAACGAAAATAGGGTATGTTGAGAGAAGGGAGGAGAAATATACAGTAACCAAAGGTGATGCATCTCCAGTTCAAGAAATAAAGTACCAAAAAACAAAGAACCCCCTTTGGAACCCAGCCACTTCATACGAAGCTAAGAGGCGGTCAACGGCTGCAGACGAAGTAAACTTACAGGACCAAATGAACAAAAACCCCTGTATCTGAAAGAGAACAGAAAGCTTCCCAGCCTTATAGCCAAAAGCTAATGCTGACAGAAACTCCACGTCAAAGAAAAGATCCCAGAGCAAAGCGGACACAGAAATGAGAAGACGAAAGTAAATGAGGAAACTGAGGAGGTTCCAGAGAAGTAGCAGGCTGAAGGTGAGAAAGCCACTTGACAACTTCCAAAATGATGGAGATGAAATATTAACGTTTAAAGTTAAAGTGGCTCCTCCGTCGTCAACTGAGAGGATGTGACAGTTGACAATCGGGCATGACAGAAACCCAGCAGCTATGAGTGTAATGAATGCCTCTATCTAATGGAAGCTTTGCTGGCTTCCTGTAAACTGCTGATTATTTTGGTGGTGATGTACTGGAAACAAGGTAGTGATTGAGGTTCTTACAGTGAGATTTAGATGGTGGTGGTGGTGGTTTGCCATTTAAGTGAGGAGTGGAGGTGACTAGTGAGTGGTGCTGGAAAAGCCCAGATAAAGGATTTCCATGGGAATTTGCTTTCTATTTACAATAACACCCCCGACTCCTGCTTATTTTTACCAAGAAAGTTGTGGCAAATATTTAGATAAATAAGGTGTCAGTATTCTGGTACTTGACTTTTGACCTCTTTCTGTATGCCTGTTTTCTGGCAATTATGCACCTTGGAAAAATAGAACTGAAAATTATATTTAATCATGGGGTAAAGATCATATGCTTTGGAAATACTCTAATTTCTATAAAAGTAATCTGAAAATTTGCATATATTGTACCGATGTATTTTATATTCCATATTTTAATGAAGTTGTCTTTTCCACAGCGTGCCAAGAAACGTGTGCGAGTGAACAGTGTAGCAACAAAACTTCTTAGTCAACTTCCAGCAAAAGGAGCAATAGACCTGAGCTATTTACTAGAGAACAACAAAAGGCAGCGCAAAAAAACTGCAGCTTTCACCTCCTGAGATTGGCTCATAGGCTGGAACGGCCACCTTACACTCAAAGAAATGGAGGGCCAAGTGTAAAGAATTATACTATTATAATTAATTTAATTAATTTTAAAATTGTTAATACATAAAATTGCTTATATATATATATATATATATATATATATATATATATATATATATATATATATATATATATATATATATATATATATATATATATATATAATATATATATATATTTATATATATTATATATTTATATTATATATATATCCACACAGATTGGCAGACAGATAACACTCTGTATTGAAAATTAGATTTTGGATAAATTTCTTAATTAATAAAGTGTCGTACCAGCCTTCTGGGATTTTGGATATTCAAAGATTTTTTTTGTGTGGTTTGCCCATCACAGTTTTGCCAACAAGGGTGTGACCTGTCTGCTAAGTTTGGGTCAAGAATTTTACCTGAAGCGCAAAACTGATGTTCACTGATCTGAGAGGATGTGTTAGAAATGAATATAACTAAGTTACTTGGTTATCACTAAGGTCAGTGCTTATACATACTGGAATTGTAATGTCACTTTTTTTTTTTTTTTATTAAATACTTGAGATTCCTATTATTTATATTTTGTGTCGGTGATTGCAGATAGTAATGGAGCTAATTGCTCTGGGACATTAATGTGTGTTTCCCTTTCTGTACAATAATATGTCTATGAATGTTTGTATTTATCTGTTGGTTAGGAATCCTCTTAGTAACTGGGGACTCTGCCCATGTGAGAGTAAAGGGAAATGTAAAAGACATGCAAACAAATTTTTGTTCAGCTATATGTTAAGAAAATGTTTTGCACACTGTAAAAGAAAGGGAACACTTGAGTCCCCTAAAAAATGTTGTAATGTATTTAAAAATTACAAAATAATTCAGAGAATGATTTATGGGGCCAAAGCTTTAGAAGTGACAGCTTTGTATTCTTTTTTGTAAATATACTGTAATAGAGAATTGAAGATAAGAAACTTGAAGCAAGAAATATTAGGGTTAGATTATGAAATTGAAGAACAAAATAATTATCAGACACTACAGATCTGACAAGGAAACTTATTCTTAGAAATTCCTATGGAATACTATCTAGTATATAGAAATGATCAAATTGGTCTTATAGCATGGATGGTGATTTAACCTCAAAATTTGTGACCTACTGTTTTTTAGTATAATGGAGTTCTAGCTGTTTAGTGATTCATAATGTGTTGTGAGACCCTCTGGCCTGGAAATATTCTGATAGCTACTGTTGGCAACCTTGCCTTTTTTTTTATGCAGCTGTATATATTTTTTTTATGAAATTTAAGACTTTATATCCTTAATAGTACAATATCATTTTTATTATTTATTAAAAAGAAAGTGATGATAATGAAACCTGTATGCAGATGCAACATATAGTTTAGTTACATTAACAGAAAAAACTGAGAACACAGGCAAATGGCTATTATGGAAGAGGCAGCTAATGGACGAGTTTAGTGAGTAACACGTGGGCACAAAATTTCACATGGTGGTCTGAGGAAGGCTTTTGTTTTAGCCTCTTTTGTACTACTACTACTACTACTTCTTAACCAGAATATGCCATAGATATTATGAAGAATTACTACTGTACTTACTGATCTCTTATGTAAGTTCAGCACAATAACAATGTTTAAACACATAGAAATTAAGAATTCATGGCTGTAAGTTATCCAGTTATATAAATGTACCACTTGTGTAGATATATAGCTGTAAGAAGGTACAGTACAAAGATTTTTTTATTTTATTTTTTTTATACTAGTGTGTATTAAACTTGAGAGCATGCTTTTCTTTAGGGTAACTAGTCATTGGACGAATTGCCATGCATTTGGTCGATCCTTCCATCATCCCTGTGTACAAGCAGAGAAATGAAACTTGTTATTGATTTGATGCAAATCTCAGTATCAGATACTGAATCCACATGCAAGAGTATATAATACTCGAATGTACACTTTCATACCTGTAAATTAAGACAACAAATCAAAATTTTTATAAAACCTTAGAAAAGGATGGATTTTGTAGTAGATGTTTAATCTATGATAGTAAGTACAAGGATTTTTAAGTTATTTGATTGAGATTTTTAATATATACTTTTAATAATGAATTTTACACTAAGTCAGATTTCTGGTTTCTCTCAAGTATCTGTAAATATTGTTTGACTGGAGAGCAAGAAAGTGACTGAATGCTGTGCATTGTTGTGTGTAACATAGAAGGAATATTTTTATAAGAATATCCGGCAGCTCTTTTTGTTCATGTCATTGTTATGGTGTCATACACCCTTTGCTGTTTCCCTCATGTTGTGTTTATGTTTGTCTACATATCACCTGGCAAGATAAGAACCACCTCCCCCCACCCACCCAAAAAAAATATTTGCACAAAAACCATTTGGAGATTTGTCTATCTTTGCTTTCCCTAAAGTCAGATGGCAAGTAGCCTCTTCCTCCCAGGTGAATAGTTTGTTTTTGAGTCCGGAAGACTAGAGATGGGGAGGCACTTTTTTGTAGGGGTTATCAAGAAATAATTGATTACAATAATTTACCAAAGATTTACAAAAAAATTGCAGATGTTTTGTTTACTAAATTGTATCTGTGTACAATGAATTGAAGTTGTTTTAATAAGTGTCTTTATGGTAAAGATTAATATTGTAGTGCTTTGACAGAAAGTGCATGTACAGAAGTTGAAATTATAATTATTGTATAAAACAGTTGCTTAATGTACAGATCCCATTGCATAAACTATTTTGATGCGTGCATTCCAAGTGTTCCTCCCCTACTAAATCCAGGCTGATGATAGTGCATATTTGTAGATATATGATGTATCAAATGAGTGAGAGATTTTGCTACTGTTTGGATGTTGTTTATTCTTTGTATTGGAACATTGGCAGAAAATGCCTGTTTCTTTGTCTGCGTTACCGTGTCCTGCTCCATTGTTCACTCTTACCGTAGTGTCTCCCAACATTTTCTCATGACTCACAATAGAATTAAGCAACTGCAACAGTACCATTAGTTCAGAAAGCTTTTTGCCAGTTAATTGCTGTTGACAGATGTTGTGCATGGTTCACACTGTGTTTATACATGTAACATTTGTTCAGTAGCATGGACCATAGTTAATGTTGGTGGTAGTTGTGTTGGCCCATTTACTGTGGCGGTAACTTGGTGCCACTTATGCTTGCCACTCGTCTAACTATGGTTCTTCCTCTTACCTAAGCAATTTACAATTTTGCCCCTAGTTATACTTATTTGTTGGGAGTTCCTCTGTGTCGTAGATTTTTAAAGTTTATGTTATTCAATCCATGTACAAGTGGCGGGAAGGTGCATACCCCTATCAATTACAAAACAAATCTTACTTTCACTGTCCTATAATATGAATGAATACTGCAGTTCACAAAAAATTTCCATGACAATAGCCCAATATGCATCTTCCCTTATCTCAGGACATAATGTTCATTTGTACATAACCATGAAATTCATCTCAGAATAAATTATAATTTTAATTTCTGCCTTCTCTATCCTGATAGATATTTGTAATTAATTAAAGGAGATGGTAATAGATTCATGATATATAGTTAACAAATAATTGTGATAAAATAAATAAGATAATAAGTAATCAAGATGATTAAAAATGTAGAGAGACAGTTTAAGAGAAACGTTTTTACATTTGATACCACCAAATTTTTGTGCACAGTAAGATATATTATTTGAAGAACAAATTTTTGTTTCTCCAAGATACCTTGTATACTAAGAATTGTATCAATAGTATGAAGGTAGTTCATTTTACAGTATTCACAATCATTACCTTTTTTCCACTTTCATGGGGGTGGAAGGGCTTCAGTCTGGAGAAAATAAGGCAAATAATATAATAAAAAAGTTATAAATATTAAATAATAAAATATTAAAAATATAACTCGTCCATTCATTATATCATTGACATTACAATACATGTATGCAGTATATCATCATGCCTTCAATTGGAGGTAGTAAATCTGCTACTACATCCATCAACTGGATGCATTAAAAGCAGTAGGACTAAACCAAATATCACCACAGTTACTGAAGAAAGCTGCTAGGTTCTTGTGTTATTCAGTAACTATAATCAATGTTGCACTAGAGATAGGAGAGCTACCAGAAATCTGGGAAAAAGCAAATGTAGTTGCAATATTCAACAAAAGGGTGACAGACATGAAGCACTAAACTGACACTAAATCAGTGTCATTAATATGTATTCCATGCAAGATTATAGCAAAATTTGAATCGATCAATCCTTGGAAAAAAGATTAAAGAACATTTTGGGCAGAGTAAATTTTATAACTGAACCACTGCACAACTTCAAATAGGAAATATGCTTAACAAATATAATTTAATTGTACGATAGGTTTACTAAAAGAGACAAGAAAAGAAAAAATGGGTAGACTGCATCTTCTTGGACTTCCAAATAGCTATTGATGCAGTTCCTCACAAAAGAGTAATATGCAAGATGGAAAGACAAGCAGGAAAGACACTGGACTGGGTATGGGAGTACTTGGACAGGAAACAAAGGGTAATAGTCAGAGAGGATATGTTGTACTGGAGAGGAGTGGTAAGTGGTGTTCCACAGGGCTCTGTCTTTTCTCTTTAATTTATTTAAATGACCTTGCAGAGGGAGTGAGCTCATACATGTCAATGTTTAAAAGAGGATGCAAAATTACTAACGAGAGTAAGAACTGAAGAGAACTATAGGGTGCTACAAGATTACCTTTTCAAACTCACTCCCTCTGCAAAGTCATTTACATAAATTAAAGAATGGGCAGATAAATGGCTGCTGGGATTCACGCTAAATAAATGTAGTAATGAAAATGAGTAATGGGAATACGAGCCCTGTATTTAACTATATTATAAGTGGAAGACAATTACACGAAACATTAAATGAAAAAGACCTGGGATTAGACATGCCCTCATGTGAACAGGAAAACATCACCAGCATATGGAAAGCTAGCAAACATAAGAACGCCATTTAAAAACCTAAACAAGCTGGCATTTTACATCTAGCCAATGTGAGACCATTACACGAGTATGTGGCACCAACATGGAAACTACAGTACATACACAAATGCTCTAACCTTTCTAACAAACAT